TGTGGGTTGGTGGGTGGCGGGGGGGAGGAGAGCCTAGTAAAGAGGGAGATCCCGGTTCAACACGCGCACCTCCCGGTTCTCAGGAGCACAGTGAAGGCGGAGGAGGTGACCCGCACCGGGGTCCTGCGCTCAGGCGGACGGACGCGCGTGGGCGGAGCCGCGAGGGTGCGCTCGAGCCTAAGCCCCGCCCACTCGACACACACACGCAGGATGAGGTGAGTCTTACATAGCGCGAAATGTACTGTAACGCACGCCCCTCCACTGGGAACAGATAAGACACGATTCGTTTTCATTTTTAGAGTTTTCCTCAGAGGATCGTAAATGTGCTTCACGAGGAATTCAACAGGTTACAGAATAAACATCCATCAGCGTCTATATAAACTTAGCTGCTTTGACTGGACTGACTTGTCTGTCTGTGAGTCAGCTTTTCAAATGCCACAGTTGATCTGGATATGCTTATTAGGGATGTCTCGGGCGATGTGGTGCAGAACTGAGACTCATCTCGTTAGACTCTTTAATCCAACATGTAAACAAACATTGAAACGCCCCCCTAAGGCCAGCCAGACAGGTATCTGACCTGGGTCGTAATTTATGAGAAAATAATAGTGTTTTGCATATTTAACACTAAAATGAATGAATGGCTTGTACTTTCAAAAAGTAGAAATGTCTTACCGATAAGCAATACAACTTAACAGATGGACAAAACAGAAGAATTTGTCCTTTGAATGTGTACTTATGAGTTTGCACATCCTCCCTGTCTATGCATAAGTTATGTCTGGGTCCTTTGGCTTCTTCCCACCATCCCCAAAATTTACCAAAGGAGTGAATGTGAGCGTGTGCTGTTGTTCGTCTCTGTGTGGCCCTGAGAGGGACCCGAGACCCGTCCGGGGTCTGCCCCACATCTTGCCCAATGTGTGTTGGGATTGGCTCCAGGCCACCTGCAGCCGTACCGGGAATAAGCAGCATGGACAATGGATGGATGAATGGCTGTTTGCTGAAGGCAGGGGTGTCCCTCAGTCCTGGAGGTTTTGACGTGTTGACAACAGTGTGCCATTAGCTGACTGGTGAAGGGATCAACAATCTTATACAATAGATCCATTTAATCAAAATCATATGTGTTGAAGTTGGGAAACGTCTAAAACATGAGACGGTGGCCCTTGAGGACCATAGTTGGACATCCCTGAATTAAAAGGTGTGATATATATAACATATAACATATAATAAAATGTGCCTACTAAACAGCACATGCAATACTTTAGGAAATATGTGGTGATTTTTGTGGTAAGCCGCATCTGTTCTGAAAAATGTTGTTGTAAAGCTTCAAATAATCTACAAGACATCTGGTGATTCTTATACAATTACAGCTTTTTCTTTTTATCCTGCACACACAATAGGCTCCCAAACTGAAAACCTGACTTACTTTCATTTTAAAGTGGAGATAAAGAGAGACAGACAGGGATTTAGCATCCAGATGGTCAGATAAGTGGTGTTACAATGTAATTATGTCCGATTATCGGTCATTAACGGATCCGACACAAAGTTATGAATTAATATTTAAAAATGTGTGTACGAGCTAAACCTTCTCTGTTTGTTTTAGTCACTCAAAGCAGGCCCAGATCAGAATGGTCGAGGAAAACAAACCAAACACATGTACGTAATCGGCCTGTTTATTGTTTGCCAGAGTGAACATATGCTGTGTGTTCTCTCGAGCACAATTAATGAACAAACCACAGTTCTCACTATTCAAGAGAGTTTCCTTTTTATGTCTACTGGAGAGAGTGAATCGTGCAGGGTGAGCATGATTGGATGTGTGTGCAACCCTATCTCCCAGATCCATCATAATCAGTCTGTTTCTGACACTCTTACAGCTGCTTTTGTCTGTTTCAAACAGATATAAAAGGGGTCTATTTTTAGATTGTAAAAGAATAGGTGACATCAACTTCATTATCAGTATTCTCCAGGTTCCCATTCTTTTTTGGCTTTGTATTTGCTAGGGAAATGGTGTTTTTTCATGGCACTGCTTTGTAATAATACCACATGGAGGCACTTTACCACATAACTTTCACCTTTTTCCTCTTACCGGTTAATGATTAAGGTCAAGGAGGCCTCTTTCAAAATGAAACCCAGATGCTATTTAGAGAGGGATCGTCTCATAACACAGGCCCTCACATCAACCAGGAGAGCAGCTTTTGTGTTATACATAATGATGAATCGTTCTAAAAGGGTTTAGAAAACTGTTTGTGTCCAAAAATGGGAAGATGAGTAAGAATTGCCATCTCAATTTTATGTAAATCCCAATAAGCCTGAAATGTTTTGCAAAAAAAATTTAGACTGACATCACCATCGGATGTGTCACTAGGAAGTGACCTTTAAAACACAAAAGTGTCTTTTTCTTATTTCCACTGGCCTTGAGGAAGGCCTGAATGCTGAAATATAGATGACTACATTTTAATAATGAATAAATGACTAATTTGGATATATACTGATTGATTTTTTTAAAAAGTATTTTGAATAATTTGCTATCAGTTATTAGTGGTTCTTAACAGTCGTTGGTGAGCTACTCCTTTATGCTGTAGATAACTATTTTCTAACTACATAAATATATATTTTTCCCATCCACATGATAAGAGTAAATTTAAAGTAATAATAAAAATAAACAAAACATAGTTGCATGGAAACTGTGTTCTGTTACTCTATTAAAGAATTTAACTGAATGTAAAATTCAAACTGTATATATTCCTAACTTAGTTTTTCCTTCGTTTACTTATTTAGTTATCTATTTTATACTAACGTAAACAAAGCATCCAATATAGCATTGTTTCACTGGAGGGCGCTGTGACAAAGCTTCAGGTGGTCTGGAAACAACTTGAGAAAGGAGGAGGCCATTCACTAGCCTGTTTTAGCTACTGTTAGCTAGCCGGCTGCTAACGAGCAAGCTAAAACATCAGTTTGGCTTAATGTCGCCTGTCCGATTACGCGATGGCAAGAGATCAGTATTTGCAAACCGAAGCTGGTGAGTTCCGAGTGTCCCCCTGTAACACAATGGGACATTTTTGCATTTGACAGAGTTTTGTGTTGTGTATCAGCCGGGGAGCTAGGCAAACGAGTGCAGCCCGGAGCTAGCTACCCTTAGCTCGACTCAACAGTGGAATTAGCATCTATCAAGCTAACAGCAAATTCTTTGTTTTCAGAACTGTATTACCTCATTGCCAGATTTCTGCAGTCTGGACCTTGTAAAAAGTCAGCACAGGTAACGACATTCTCTTTGAATAATAGTTTCCCTCGTTGGTTATTATCTGTTAGCCGCCGTGCTAGCATCCATGCTAACTGTTTGTGTCTGTTAGATTCTGATTGAGGAGCTGGAGGAGTATGAGGTAAGTTCAGCTGGACCTTTCTGTTTTTATTCTGCTGTGTGCTCCCCGTAATGTTGCCTAACAAACCGTTTTGCGGTTATTTGCGGTCCGCATTTGGACTTTTGCCGTATAAAGGAGCGCCGATCCCAGCCGAGTCGAGGCTGGTAGCTTTTTCTTATCTTTAATGGGCTGTTTTTAAACTTTAGTTGGTTCCGCAACGATGGAGTTGGGACGGGAAGAAATACAAACGGACCTTCCAAGACTGGGTGAGGATTAAATCATTACCTTGTTATTAAAAAATAATCGTGTCATGTTTATTTAGACTGAGTAGCGTTTCGCAGCGAACATATTATTTTTATTTAAGTTAAAAATTCAAACAAGGATGGTCAAATTTGATTTTGTTAATAAAATACTTATTACATCGATTTTAGTACAGGCCTGTTGATAAATATCTAAATACTGGCTATGCTATTGTGTGGGCTAAGGGCTGGGAGAACGTAGACACGGGCGGATAGTGATAGGCTGAACCACAACTGGAGAGCTGTCAATCATGTCTGTGGGCCAATCAGATCTCGGGTGCAGCTGCTAAAGCCTTGAAAGAGATCGAAGGAGCTAATTTGATTGGCTATAGGCTTTTATGTCCCTCCTCTTCTCTTGCGCCCGTTCTGTGTTAATTTCTAGCTTGCATATTGGCACAAAAGGCTGCAGTCTGTAATTACAAATTTGTTAGGTTTTTATCAGTTTGTTCGAACAACTTTTCGAGGTTACACGTTTCCATTAAGGCAATTTTCCTGGCTCAAAAACGAATGACTATTTAGGACACTTAGTAAAGAAGCCCGGAGCAGGAAGACAAAATAATAACAAATAATAGCCCATGGCATCAAGCCTTTTTAGACCCATAAAACGTTTTTGCTCAGGGGACTTTTCAGTGTGTACAGACTGCTTAGACACTGCCTAAACTAAATGATAAGCTTCTGAAATCGTATAAAAACTTAATTCGACTTTGCATAACGCAAATGTACATATAAAGAATGAACCCTATTTTTACTATCAATATATATCTTGTAAAAGACTCAGTGTGTTTAATAAACACTATCCTAATGTATTATTCTTACTTTCAATCCCTTCTTTAGGAATTTTGAATTTCTTTACATTCGTAGTGTTTCTAAAGCTATGATAATAATAATAGCTTTTAACTTTTAAAGCAAATTGCTGGGTGGCAGTATTCACAAAATGGCAGAATACATGATTTAGAGAAAATACTTCTGATGAAAGGCTCAATCTGTTTAAAGTTTGTTGTGTTTTGGATGTTTTCTGAGAGTGTTACAGAGATGGTGGTGTTATATCCTTTTGTTATTGTGTTTTTCCATTTGCTGTGTCATGTTTAATGATTATTATCATCTTGCGCAGGTGAGTTTGAACCAGCACATTCCTGCAGACTATCTGCTCCAGATCTGCAAACGGATCGGTCCGCTGATAGAGAAGGAGATCCCAACAAGTGTCCCTGGAGTCCAAACGCTCCTGGGGCTGGGAAGACAGTCGTTGCTTCGCACCACTAAAAGTGAGCATACCCCCCCATCCTCCTTTTAAAAAAAATTACTACTACTGCTTTAACTATTTACCATATGTGTGTGGACATTGTTTTACACCATAATTATGTAATTAACTGTGTAATTTAGGCTGTAGCCACAAAGTTTGCTGTGGCTCTGCGGTCGCTGCGCTCCACAGAGGACGTCCACCAGAACCTCCGGTCATTTACGGAAATGCTCCAAGTGTCGGTGTGTTTAAACTTTGCTTCGATAATATTTTTCCCACGCGTGACTTATCACAAAAAATGAATGTTTCCAGCACGGTCTGTTCTCTTCTGAGCTTTTGTGTTCCTTTGCATTCAGTGTCCATCATTGGTGCCCGTCAGACCACAGGCTCGGCCCATTTCGGCCAAGCCCTGCCGTCTTCCACTTATCAACACATGAAGATCCACAAGCGTATCCTCGGCCACCTTTCCTCAGTCTACTGTGTAGCTTTTGACCGCACTGGTCGGCGGATATTTACAGTGAGTGATGATTTTTGAGTTGGAGATTATTATTGTAATTCAGCCTGATTAAAAGTGTCTCAGTGTTTGCGTTTCTCTTTACACAGTCAGATCTTTAAGAATAAAACAAACATTCTAACCGAAGTTCAGTGAATTTTTATTATTTTTTGGGTTGTATTTCTAATTTTTGGTCACCGCCTTCATATTCAGGGCTCCGATGACTGCCTCGTGAAAATCTGGGCCACAGATGACGGGCGGCTCCTGGCAACCCTCCGCGGCCACTCGGCAGAGATCTGCGACATGGCCGTGAACTATGAGAATAGTCTCATTGCCTCGGCCAGCTGTGACAAAATCATCCGAGTGTGGTGCCTACGCACCTGTGCGCCCATCACCGTTCTGCAGGCCCACGCCGCCTCCATCACATCCATACAGGTAACAGACTTTAAAAAAAACAAAGAAAATAAAAGTAAAAAAAAAAAGAAAGAAAAATATTCCGATTATGCACCATATTTCAGGTTTTCCAGGGAAAAATCACCTTCTTTTTTTTTTTTTTTGAACAAAATGTTTATTATTTTTTCAGAAGTAATACAGTGTGGTATGAATGTACATGTATATTTTTACATTTTTAAACATAAAAAACAAACAAACACAAACACAGGGTGATTACAAGAGTGTGAGAAAAAACAAAACAAAACAAAAACCTTATTGCATAATTAGTGGAACGACAGGTCTCCAACGTTTATTGAATATGGGTGTTTGTAGTCTCAGGGAGTATGTTATATATTCCATTTGGTATATGTCCCAGACCTTCTGGATCCATATATTATAGCAAGGAGGCTCAGGTTGGAGCCATCTGATAGTGAAAAATCACCTTCTGTCTTCATCTGTCCTAGTTTTGCCCGGCGGCCAAAGGGACGACGCGGTACCTGGCCTCAACAGGTGCAGACGGCATGGTGTGCTTCTGGAGGTGGCACTCGCTCAGCATGAAATTTAAGTAAGAACTCATGCATCTTATGTGGAAAAAGATTTTTCGCTGTTGTTTTTTTTTTTTTCTTCCCATGAACAACTGTTATGTTTGTCCTTTTCCCCTTAGTGATCAACCGGTCAAGTTTGTCGAGCGGTCACGGCCAGGAGTCCAAGTTTCCACCTCCTCCTTCAGTAGTGGTGAGTATCAGCTCAGATGGTCCACTTTTATTATGATAAGGTATTTTTATTAACTGGTCTGAATAGAAAACACAACATAGATCAGTAACCACAAAGGTGTGGCACTAAGCCACTACATTTTGACTTACCTCTTTCTTATTGTATTCCTTTTTTTGGATGCTTTACAATCAGGCCTATTGAATTGAATAAAGATACATTTGCAGCCAACTTAATATTACACAATATCTTTTTTTTGTCAAAATTGAATTTTGACCATTGTGCTCCACATGTTTTACCCACCTCACAAACCACTCAGACAAAAAAATAAAACTCATCTGGTACTAGGATTTCAATAAGCAGGTTAGATTTTTAAAGGGCAGTGTGGCCAGTAGTACATGTTAGCTATAGCTTCATTAAACAGTAACAACAGGTAAGGTTTTTATCATTCAATTGTGTACACAAGCAACTAAAACCAAAAGTAATGTGAAAGATTTTTAGCTTTGGACATCATTTCCATTTTCCTCTCTTTGCTGTTTTCAGGTGGTATGTTCATGGCCACCGGCGGTACGGATCACGTGATCAGGGTCTACTTCCTCGGCGCGGAAACTCCAATGAAGGTCTCTGAGATGGATGCACACACGGTAAGAAACAGGCTGTTGGATCTTCAAACTCAACTGTTTTTAGTTGCTTTTGTTTTTTGTTCAGTTTTGTGTAAACGAGGCCCGAATCATTGTTTGTTTTTTCATCTCTCAGGATAAAGTTGTGGTTGTCCAGTTCAGCAATAACAGCGACAGGTGAAATCTGCAGAGTTTTTTTTGTATATTTATTCTTTTCTGGGTTTAACAAACCTCTGATAGTTGAGTTAATGCTTGTTTCCAGCCTGAGGTTTGTGAGTGGGAGTCGTGACGGCACAGCCAGGATCTGGCTTTACCAGCAACAAGAGTGGAAGAGTGTTTCTCTGGACATGGCGGCAAGGTTACCTGGGTAAGAGCAAACCACTTTACGTCTTCAATCAGCCCAAAAAATCTCACGTCACCCCTCTGTTCATTGAACTCCACTGGTTACCTCTGGCTGCCCGTATCAAATTCAAGTCCCTGATGCTAGCCTACAAAGTGCTTAAGGGTACGGCTCCCATCTACTTGAATCCTCTTGCAAAGGCTTATGTCACAACTCGATCACTCCGGTCATCAATGGATTGTCGTCTAGCGGTGCCATCACCACGCTTAAGACCATCCAGACTGTTTAATGTGTCGTTCCAAGATGGTAGAACGACCTACCAAGCTACGAGAACATCAGCGTCCCTGTCTGTCTTCAAGAAACTTTTGAAGACCCACCTCTTCAAAGAGCATCTCCTATCCTAACCCTAACCCGTACCTCTACCCCCCACAGCTCCTATCCTAACCCTAACCCGTACCTCTACCCCCCCACAGCTCCTTCTGTGGTCCCTCTACCTCTATCTCTATCTCACCACTGACTCTGATCAGTGTTTCTCCTCTATATAGCTTATTGTCATAGTGATGAGAAATGTAATATTGTGTCTACTCTGTAAGTCGCTTTGGATAAAAGCGTCTGCCAAATGCATAAACATAAACATTGTGGACATTTCCCTGTAGGACGGCTGCTGCCAACGGCGACGATAAGACCAAGCTGGTGGTCACCATGGTGGCCTGGGACCGCACGGACAGCTCCGTCATCACAGCGGTGTCCAACTACCTGCTCAAAGTGTGGAGCGCAACATCTGGCCAGCTGCTGCACGTCCTGTCTGTGAGTGGCTTAAACCGGCGAGGAGACGTTCAGCTCGGCTCACGCCCCGCTCTAAACGCCGCTGCCCGTTCTGTTCCAGGGCCACGACGACGAGCTGTTCGTGCTGGAGGCGCACCCCTTCGACCCGCGCATCATGCTGTCCGCCGGCCACGACGGGAACATCAACATCTGGGATCTCACCCGAGGAGTCAAGATACGCAACTTCTTCAACATGGTAACGGGCCGTGTTGGGTCACGCTACTTTTAACAGCCACCCAATTAGATTGAAGGATTAGTAATGTTAAAAAAAGTTTTTTTATTTAGTTTTCTTTGAAAAAAGTTGTAGTATTTACGTGTTACCAGATATAAACGGTACGATTCTTTGCAAACTTTAATGAGAAAGTGAAAGATCAGAATCAGAATCAGAAATACTTAATCCCAGAGGGAAATTATTTTTGTTACTGGCTCCATAAATAAAACAGCGGCATATACATATATGCATGTCTGTACATATATATATATATATATATATACAAAATTCTTCATGTGATATAGATAGATATATACATAAATAAATAAAAAAACATGATTTCCTTTGAGAGTTCTGGCTGCCCAACTTCAACACAGGCATTAAATCATAACATTAAATCAAGTGTACGGGGTTCGATGGCTTAGAAATGTGGAGAGTTAAGCTTTTATTTGGCGAGCTTTTTCTGCTGTGGGCCTGCAGCTTCTGCTTCCTAAAATCTGAAACACCTCTCATCCTGTCACCGAATACATTTGGCCACTATTCTTCCACAATGGGAGGACTTCTGCACCCCCGAACCCCGTCCTCTCTGTGGTCTCCGTGGTGACGGAGCACGAGACAAACCCCTCAGACCGAGACGTCCAAATGTTCAGAGAAACAGATTGCCTCACTCAGTGTCATTGAGTTTTTTTTTTTTTTTTTCAAAAATTTCGTTTCCAGATCGAGGGCCAAGGCCACGGTGCTATTTACGACTGCAAGTTCTCCGCCGACGGGCAGCATTTCGCCTGCACCGACTCACACGGCCATTTGCTCATCTTTGGCTTTGGCTGCAGCCGAGCATACGAGAAGGTAACAGCATGTCGCCGTGAGCTGAAGCCAATCGAATCTCCCCACAAAAAAACGGCGCTCCGTATTCCCAAACTCTCTCGATCTCCTCCCTCCAGATTCCCGACCAGATGTTCTTCCACACGGACTACCGGCCTCTCATCCGGGACTCGAACAACTACGTCCTGGACGAGCAGACGCAGCAGGCCCCCCACCTCATGCCCCCGCCCTTCCTGGTGGACGTGGACGGAAACCCGCACCCCCCCCGCTACCAGCGCCTGGTGCCGGGAAGGGAGAGCTGCAAGGAGGACCAGCTGGTGCCTCAGCTGGGATACATGGCCAACAGTACGGAGCCCACTCTTTATTCCAGCCTGTTTTTTATTATTATTATACTCTTTATTTAACATTTTTCATTTCAATAAAACATACAACACACACAGAACTTGGGGCACTGATACTTAGATAAGTAGAAAGACAGAAACAAAATAATACATTACAAGATGATACACCTAGTTATGCTTCCTTGCTCTTGTACGTCAGCCATTTAGACCAGCGTTTGTTGTAAGAATGTCCTTTCATACGTAAAAGATATGTCAGTTTTTCCATAGAGGGAATCTCCTCCATGACATCTCGCCAGTGGCCCAGCTGGGGTGGGAGTTTCTTTAGCTAACACCGTGTAATTGCTCTTTTTTGCTTGCAATTGACAGAACTTTAAAAAGGTACTGATCTGCTTTTTGAAACACTTTTTCAGACATCAACCTCAGCAGAAAAATTCTAGGGTCCTTGGGGATGACAAACCCCAAAATTCTCCCAGTAGTCTGACAGATTCCATCCCAATAAGTTGCCAACTTTGGGCAGGACCAAAATATATGAGAGTGATTGGCGTTCTGATGGCCACATTGTCTCCAATATTCCAGCCTGTTTTAGTGCAGGTGAAAAAGCGTTTGACCCATGGTCTCCCTCTCTCTTCACAAAGGTGCCGGAGAGCTGGTTGAGCAGGTTCTCGGCCAGCAAACAGCGGAAAACGGCGAAAGTCTGCTGGACAATCTCATCCGGCAGCTGCAGAACGAGCAGGACGAGCGGCAGAACGCACAACGGCAGCCCGAAGAGGGAGACGGTCAGTTTTCCCTCTGAGATGTTTGTTTTTTGGTCACTCCGGTAAACTTTAAACTGCGCATATAAACTGTGAGCTTTCGTCTCTTTTTAATCATACGTTTTTGAGTTCTTCCCTCATAGAGACAACGGCTCCCTCTGAGAGTCAAACTTAATTATTGACATTATCACTACCACTTATTTAGACCTATATATAGTATTTCTGATTCTGATTCTGACCGTTTTCCAGGTGACATGCTGAGTACTCATCACGACCAAATTATATATATATCTTCTTTTTTTTCTTCAGCTGCTGATGAAGCTGAGGCGGCGCCCTCCTCTCCGGCTTCGGAGTCCCGCAGAAGTGGGCCGGTGGAAGGGATGTGGCAGATGCAGCACAACTCCCTTCGTAGCCAAGTGGCCACAGCCAGGGACCTGCTGGCCTGGAGCCGGAGGGTGGTGGTCAACGAAGTGCCCCAGGGCACATTCAGGTGCAGCCACTGGAGAGCATTGAGCTGCCTCTGTTGTTCCTCTGAATGTGATCCTAATTCCTAATAGTTTTTTTTTCTTCTCCAGAGTTTTGGAGGAGTGCAGACAAGCCAAAAGCGACCTCGAATGTTCTCTGTACAATGCAGAGAGGAGGAAGAAGCCAGTGTCCTGCTCCCCCAAGGTAAGCTGTTCTTCAGGTCTTTAGTTGGAAACCTGAGAATAAACCAGAGTAGATCAAGAGTAAAAATTGACATTTATTAGGTCACAGGTAAAGTATTTCAGCGCTGGGCTCTTCACAGACTAAACCTCTCTCTGGGTCTCAGTCGGCAAAGAGCCCCCAACTCTGTGTGTCATGGATATTTATCTATGGGGCTGGGCACACCTCTCAAAAGGACTGGACCAGCTGAATGCTTATTGGCCAGTTATTTACTAACCCTAACCCTGACATGACCCGGCCAGGTCCTAATTAATCAATCAATCAATCAATCAATCAATCAATCAATGTTTATTTATATAGCACTTCACAACAACCGGAGCTGACCAAAGTGCTTTACAGAATAAAAACAAATCAAACTATCGAAATATACAAAGACAAACACATTGGTGACAGAACCCAGTATACAGAGATTTTACATGCAAAAAGCCATCCTGAACAAATACGTTTTAAGTTGAGCTTTGAACAGTGGAATGCAGGTAACCTTGGAATGTGGTAACTAAGTTTGTGCGTGTGGTTGACCTAATGACATGCTCATAATTGAACTGCCGGTTACAGCCAGAGAATTTAACACAAAACTATAGTTCTAAAAGGAATAAGACAATCAGTCATTTACATCGATTATATGATAGCATACTATGATAAAAGACCTCAACTTAAAACGTATTTCTTCAGGATGGCTTTTTGCACGCAGGGTCTCTGTATACTGGGTTCTGTCACTGATGTGTTTGTCTTTGTGTATTATTTTGTATTGTTCGATAGTTTGATCTGTTTTTATTCTGTAAAGCACTTTGATCAGCTCCGGTTGTTGTAAAGTGCTATATAAATAAACATTGATTGATTGATTGATAAAGTGAGTAATTATAGCCAAATCCTAACACATCTGAGTCCTCCCCCCTCCCGCCCCTGACCGCAGACCGACCTCCTGTCCACACGCCTGCGCTCTCTGCGGCCGACCAAGAAGAAAAAGCAGCAGCACGCCTACCAGACGCGCTCGGCCCAGGTCCGCCGCCCCGGGACCCGGACCCGCAACCCCAGCACCCGCCGCCCCCCCGACAGCCAGGGGGACTCGGAGAGCGGAGACGTAGGTCCCACTATTCCCCTTTGCTCATTCAAATGAGACTTGCAGAATAGTCCGCGGATAGGGTTGTCAAAAGTATCGATACTAAAAGGTTGTATCCGGATACGATACACCCCCCCCATTCTCTCTGATTTATTGATTTATTTACTTATTTATGTTGTTGTTGTTTATTTACGTTGTTTATGATCTTTAATATGACGTTAGCCTTGAATTGCTAAACAAATCCAAACAAGTTTAACCAAAAAATATTTATTTCTCACAATTATTAAGGATGGAGGGTTAGGGTCAGGGTTATAGTAATTAATGTGGGCCACCAGCCACCATAAAATCAGTAATAAGTTTGAAACGAAAGACACTAACCTGTCAAAATTCAGTAACATTATGGGGTCTTTGTTTTTATCCTTGTGGTATCAAAAATGGTATCGAATATTTTCCTGAGAATCGGTATCGAGTTGAAAATTTTTGGTATCGAGACAACCCTATCCTCGGATAGCTAAACGTGCTCACTCTATGAAACGTATTGTTTTATTGTTAGGCGGCGGAGCGGGCCGAGCACTCGGACGCCACCTCAGACGGCGAGGCCCGGTGGCAGAGCGAGAGCAGCTCCAGGTTCGACCACGCAGCATCATCTTTTCCTCACGATTCCAGTCACTCGACTGACTGTATTCGATTTCTATTTGCAGCGACTCGTCCAGCGAATACTCGGACTGGACGGCGGACGCAGGGATCAACCTGCAGCCGCCGAAACGCACGACCAGGAGGCAGCACGCCGGCTACAGCAGCTCGGAGGAGGAGGAGGAGGGGGGGAACCAGGCCAAAGAGGCGAAGAAGAAGGAAAACGAGAAGAGGAAGAAGCCCAAAGAGACCAAACAGGTCAGAGCTAACAGCTCCTGCTGGCACAGTATTAGCAGTATGGACTAGGCTTGTCCCGATACGATATCTGGATAAAAAAAATTGTATCGGCTGGCAGGAGAAAATGCCGATCCAGACTCCAGATCCATTTTTTTTTTTTAAAGTCCGATCACACACAAACATTAGCATCTCCTAAACTACAGGTCTGTGTCCTAACCATTAACTCATTGACTGCCAGCCATTTTCAGAACAGAGTCCCATACTGCCAGAGTTTTTTGAGCATTTTGACAGATTTTTCAAGAGCCACAGAATAGTTTGTGCTATGACTATGTAAACACCGAACACACCAAAAGAAAGAGTAGACTCTCTTCTTTCATCAGGAATAAAAATGTGTTTCTACCTTATTCCGTTCTTCCTCGACTTGCGTCTCACCGGCGCCATTTCTCTCATAGCGAACCGTTACATTTTTCTTATTTGCCTACAGTCTATGCTCATCTCCCATCAAAAGTGGCACTCCTACCTAGAGGGTCAATTTGTTACTACATACTCTGTCTAGAAGCCTGATATTTACGGACAAGCTTTAGCAGACTCTCGTTGAAAAACATAAAAAACGTCTATAGACGTCTTTGGCAGCCATTGAGTTAAGTTGTTATCAGAGTAAATCCCTGTTCAACATGAGTCTGACAACTAAGTAAGAAAGCTAAATAACTTTAAACTTTAATACATGCTCTGATAGGCCGGGATCGGTTTTAAATCAGTTTTAAAGTGCAAAAAGCTGGATCGGGACATCCCTAGTATGGAGAATATCAGTTTTAGAGGAGAACATCTGTGGCTAAACCTCTAACTGTACACCCTCAGAAACCCACATCCTCTCTGGCTGGGCTGAATGCAGAGGAGTGTCTGCCGCCATCATGGATAATGGAGACCATCCCACACCGCTCTCCTTTTGTCCCACAAATGGGAGACGAGGTGAGAATCGTCCTGGATGAATAAAAAACATTATTTAGTCGACCCGCCCTAAATCATGGTTTCCCCTTTGCCCCCCTCCCAGCTCATTTACTTCAAACAGGGCCACCAGGCCTACGTTCGGGCTGTTCGCAGGGCCAAAGCCTACACCGTCAACCCCCAGAAGCAGCCCTGGAACAGACTGAACCTCAGGGTGCGCGCAGAGGCTACCAACCAACCGCACTGCTTTTAACTGTTTTTTTTTTGTATAATGTGTGTAATTTATGCTCGTCTTTTTCCTGTCTGCCTCAGGACCAGGAATCTGTAAAGGTGATCGGGATAAAATACGAAGTGGGACCTCCAACGCTCTGCTGCCTGAAACTGGCTTTCTTGGACCCAGTTTCCGGGAAGATGACCAATGAGTCTTTCTCCTTAAAGTGAGCGTTTGTGTTATTTTCTGCACCCAGTACAACAGACCACTGATAATGACTGTAAATCTAAGCCAATGTTTTTTTTTTTTCCAACTTTATTTATTGAACATTTTTTAAACCAATAACATACAGAGTACAAAGTATAAAGATGGCAAATTTAGTAGCACAACTGTATGCAAACAACCCAAAACAATAACCAGCAACCCCCATCCTCCCCTTTACAAGCCCAGACAGACAGACAGAACACACAAGCATTCACACACATACACACGCTCACTCTTTGGGGAGAAATAAACAAAAAAACAAACGATAAACAATAAATAAAAATAATAAAATAAGATAGAAAATCAGAAGTAAGCGTCTGTATTTTTAACTGCTACATTTCCTCCCTCCCTAAGGTACCACGACATGCCCGACGTTATAGATTTCCTCGTTCTGCAGCAGTTTTACAATGAGGCAAAGGAGCACAACTGGCAGCCGGGTGGGTCACAGCACTCCCCTCCGAAACCACGTTTAGGGGTTCCCGTTTGTGTGTCGGAGCTCTAATTTTTGACGCCCTGCGCAGGCATGAGGTTCCGCAGCATCATCGACGACGCCTGGTGGTTCGGTTTGGTGGAGGATCAGGAGCCCCTGCAGCCCGAGTACCCCGATAGCCTTTTTCAGTGCTATGCAGTGAAGTAAGTCTGTGACTGCAGCAGCTGGAGTCTTTTTTTCCCCTTTTTTTAACCATAATATAATGTATTGATAGTATCTGTTAATGTGATGCCACAATTTTAATTACAGTTCAATCGGTAATGACAGAATTCTTTGTTTCACAAGGTGGGATAATGGTGAGCGGGAGAAAATGAGTCCATGGGACATGGAGCCTATTCCGGAGGAAGGTCAGTGCTATTAGTGTGTGATGTTCCTTTAACCCTTTAAAGCCTGATCCAAGAAAAATAGGAAGAATGTTGGATTTTTTTAGTCTGAAGTCTTATTTTGGCCCCTCAACAACATATGAAGAAAAAAAAGAAATTATTTTGATCAAATTAGCGTGCAATAAGTAAAAAATTTATTTTGGTGTAGTCTTCTACTGGCTGTTATCAGGTATATCTGAATGTGTACAACAGGGGTTTGAGCAAAGCTTTTACCACTGAATGATGCAAAAAGTCTCAGATCCAAAAGACCTCAGAAACTGTGTGTATCAAATATGATACATTTGGCATTATAGTGTCACGGTATACTTTTTTCTACTTTTTCACCCATCACACAAAGCTTATCTTTTGAATATTCAGTTTAAATGCAACAGAATCCAATCTGTAATGTTTTTTTTCCCCAGTTGCTTATGGCTACTGAGGTATTTCATTCTAACTGTTTCTAACCCGTTTTGTGGCCCGGTCAGCTGCCCTGCCGGAGCAGGTTGGCGACGGCGTGGAGGTGGCGGAGGAGGAGCTCAAAGCCCTGCTCTACAGGCCCCAGGAGGGGGAGTGGGGCGCTCACACCCGGGACGAGGACTGCGAGAGGGTCATCCAGGGCATCGACATGCTGCTGACGCTGGGTGGGTGGCGGACGCGGTAAAAAGGTCTGACTCTCGCCCGTATCTCTCTCCGCCTCTGACTCCATTCGTGGTGCGTTTTGCAGATGTTGCCAAGGCGTTCGCGTCCCCCGTGAACCTGCAGGACTACCCGCTGTACTGCACGGCGGTGGCCTACCCCACAGACCTCAGCACCATCCGCCGGCGCCTGGAGAACCGCTTCTACAGGTGAGAGCTCGCCCGGTACCTCGGGGTCTGTTCGGACTCCCGTCCAGAGCTCCAGACTGATGCGATTTTTCTCTTGCAGGCGGATCTCCGCCTTGATGTGGGAAGTGCGTTACATTGAACACAACGCGCGCACTTTCAACGAACCCCAGAGCCCGATCGTAGCAGCGGCCAAAGTGGTGACTGACGTTCTCCTCCACTACATCGGGTATGTTTATGTTTATGTTTATGCATTTATCTACGCTTTTATCCAAAGCGACTTACAGAGTAGATACAATATTACATTTATCATCGCTATGACAATAAGACTCCACTAAGTTCATTTTTCGACTTCCCCGAGCAGCTCCACGATACCTTCTCCCCGTATTAACGTACACTTGTTCTTTTCTTTGTCCACCAGGGACCAGAGCTGTATGGACATCTTGGATTTGTACCGCAAACTGAAGTCTGAGGTCAGCAGTGAAGGCGAGGTGAGACAGAGGAAAAACTCTAATCCCCCTTTAACAGGTCTTTTCTTCTTTTTTTTCTCCATTTACATTGCTTTTCTTTAAATTTGCACATTTCCTCAGCAGATTGACTTGGATGTGGATTCTGACACTCCGGGAACTTCTACAGGACATCGGGTAAGTAAGTTTAATGGCACCAGATCAGTGACGGATATTGTGTTGAGGTTGTAGTAAGACCCTTTACTTTATGCTAACTAGCATGAACTGGCAGTATGACCCTCTATCGGTGTGGTCCCTCGTCTCCTTGAAGCTTCCCATACACTCATTAACTCTGTGTCTATAGACACTTTAAGTTGGCCAGTCTTGTTCATTTTAGTTCTTGTATTTGAAATGTTTTATGTTTTATTGTTCTTTTAATACCTGTCTTTAGTATTGCCTAAGCGGAAGTTGTTAAACTGCCCTCTCTTTGACAGGGAGCCAACCCAAATTCGAAGAAGCGGGGGGTGGTTTTGGACGTGAAAGCGTGGTGGACTCAGTGCCGCGAGCTGCTGCGCCGGATGATCGCTTCCCACGACTCCCAGCCTTTCCGGCAGCCCGTGGACCTCTTCGAATATCCGGTAAAACAAACCGAAAACGTCCACCGGCCGACACGATAAAAGCCACAACCATTAGGAAACATTAGGATGTGCAATACTATGTATATATATGCTCTTATCCTGTATATATCTAGCTCTTAGTTATAGAAAATATATTTATTAAGTAGGAATAAGGTCTTAACTCTGTCACACTGGTAGCCAAGTAATCAACATTTCGTTGTCAAGATTCACCTTGTGTTTTTTTGCACAATGACAATAAAGGAAGTCTAAGTCTCTAAGTCTATATGGACCCTGTGGCTGTATTTTTTTGGTTTCAGGACTACCGAGACATCATCGACACGCCCATGGACCTGGCCACGGTGTCGGAGACCCTGCTGGCCGGGAACTACGAAAACCCCATGGAGTTCGCCAAAGACGTCCGCCTCATTTTCATCAACTCCAGAGCTTACACACCTAACAAGAAGTCCCAGGTAAACCAGCGTCCCCACGCACAAAGCATAGGCAGGATCTCACTGGGTTCCCTCTGGGTGTTTACCACTCTGGCTTTCTTTCACATCCAGATCTACACCATGACCATCAGCCTGTCGGCTTTCTTCGAGAAACAGATCATCTCCATCATCTCAGACCACAAGTCTGCCCTTCAGAACGAGCGGAGATCCCGTCAGAGACTCAGTTACAGGAACAGATTGCACAACGGGGGCAGCTCCCCCCCTAATAGTCCATCCTCCAGGTACCCGCAAGCCTTCCATTCCTTTATCAAAGTATCTGTCTCCTCACAGTGCGTTCCCAGTGTTTTATCATTAATCGCTGCGAGCCGGTTATTCTTTTGTGACGTTAATACTTGTGTCTCATTTTAAACTCCCTTTCACCTGCAGTCGTAAGGGCAAGCACAAAGTGACGGAGCCAAAAAATTCCCGGACCTCAACCAAAAGGCGTTCTCTGAGGCCATACCAGGGTATGTGTCCAGCCCGGATTTATGTCTGAAAGCTGATTTTCCTTTTTTTCCCCTGCTCCTGTCTCTAACAAGAAGAAAGAATGACAGATTCTCATAAAGTCTTCCTAACCTCTCTTCTGGTTATACAATTAGATCCAGATCATTTTTATCCGAGTCAGGTCCAATCAGGTATACTTTGCAATCGATAGGCTTATGCCTCCAAAAAGTCAACTTTCTATTCAACTAGGGATGTCCCGATCCAGCTTTTTTCACCTCCGATCTGATACCGATCCCGGCCTATCAGAGCATGTATTAAAGTTTAAAGTTATTTAGCCTACTCACTTAGTTTTCAGACTCCTGTTGAACAGGGATTTACTCTTAGAATAACTTATTGGTTAGGACACAGACCTGTAGGTTAGGAGATGCTAATGCTAATGTTCGCGTGAGATCGGACTTTTAAAAAAACTGGATCGGCGGTCTGGATCTGTATTTTCTGATCCGATCCAGATATCAGATCGGGACAAGCCTACATTCAACACTCGAAAAAACATTGTTTGACCAACAATTCGACCTCTCAAAATCAACGTAAAGGCGCCCAGATCATCTCGTCTGGGATTAAACGATCTGATGAACGTGTGAATACAGGTTCGGGCTCTGGACTCGTTGGTTTGTGTCATATTATTACTGACCCTGTGGTTATAATGGTTTCCTCAGCTAAGCACAGCAGCAGCGTAGCAGAGGAGGAGGACAGCAGGGCGTCTTCCCCGAGTTCAGGGACCAGCTCTGAGAGCAGAAACCGGCCTCCGAACCGGGCGACCCGCAGCAAAGCGCCCCCGGGGAAGAAGTCAGGTACCATAAAACCCATTTACTCGGATATTTCTCGGTATGTGTGGCGTTCGGTGTGAAGTCCAACCGGCTTTTTCTTCTGTTTGGCTTCAGGGCGCCGCCTTCATCTCACCAACGGCCCCCGGCAGGGGCAGGAACCCCTGCGCTCTTCCTCCTCCTCCTCTTCTTCCGAGGGGGAGGAGGAGGAAGAGGGGAGGGAGGGGGGGGTGGGGGGGGCCTCGGGCTCCGACGGCTCCTCCTCCTCCTCCTCCTCCTCGTCTTCGTCTTCCTCCTCCTCCTCCTCTTCCTCGTCCGGGAACAGCTCGGACTCGGAGGCGGAGAAGTTCGTGGAGGGCGGCGACCACGACTACAGCAAAGCCCCCCGGCGGCTGTCGGGGCCCCCCCCGGCCAGAGGGAAGGGGGGGGCCCCCGCCAAGAGGAGGCGCAAGGGGGGGGAGGAAGAGGAGGAGGAGGAGGAGGCGGGGGGGAGGGCCAAGAGGGCCCGAGTGCAGCCGCCGCCCGCAGAGGTGAAGGAGGAGGAAGAGGAGGAGGCTGAGGAGGAGGAGGATGAGGAGGAGGAGGCTGAGGAGGAGGAAGAGGCGGAAGACGAGGAGGAAGAAGAGAAAGAGGAAGAGGAGGAGGAGGAGGAAGAGGAGGCGCAGCAGAAGGACGATGTCGGACAGGCAGAGGATGAAGGTGAGGACGATGAAGAGGATGAACAGGAGCCCGAGGAGGAGGAAGAACCCGAGGAGGAAGAAGAGGAGGAGGATGAAAACTCGGACGAAGCTCGGAGAGCAGCCGCCGCCGCCGCCGCTTCGGCCGTCGCCATGGCAACGCCGGTCGGCGGCCCGAGACGGAAGCGGCGGAAATACGGGCGGGTCAACACGCGGAACCAGGGCCGCCGGACGGTGGTTTACCGGGACGAGTCGGAGGACGATGGCCGCGGGTCCAAAGAGGACCCGCTGAACCTGGGCCGGTCCCGGTCCGGACGGGTCCGCCGCATGACGGAAAAGGCCCGGGTCAGCCACCTCATGGGCTGGAGCCACTGAGGCCCCGCCCACTGCTCAGCAGACTCAGACTTTTTAAAACGCGAGTAATACATCAGGGAAATGTTTTTTTTTTTTTTTTTGTTTTTTTTTTTTTTTGTACAAGTTTGTATATAATTTGAATATATATATATTTTTTTTTTTTTTTTTCTTTATCTGGGACTGCTGATTGCTGGTGCTCATGAACGTGACTATTCCGCCCTATCGGCAGAGCAACTGTTCAACTCGGACCCTCCCGAACTCAAACTGACTCACCTCGGCCTTACTACTCACCGGAGTCCTCCTGAGGAGCCTTTTGGATCCGACGTTGCTCTTCGTCTCATCCCGAGCGTTTGGCGTCCAGCGTAAAAACACTATATCCACCCCACCCCCTCCTCCCTGGTTCCTCTTCGTCTTTCTGGTCACCAAAGAAGGATGCACAGATGCCAAAAAATAACAAAATGGTGCTCAAATCTTCCTTTTTATTTTTGTTTTTTAAATCAATTGAGCAACTGGTTGCTTGTTGGGTCACGGCCGTTGTAAGAAAGGTGCAGTATCGCCTCAACTGTCTGATGTTCCCGATCCAGGAACTTGCTGTTGTCTCATAATTGTAGTTTTGGGGATTTAGCAATACAGGGAGCCAGCCAGTAGAAAAACCTGATCCTAGTAATATCCCTAATGACGTGCTTAGTCTGTGAATGTTGAATGCTTTGGATTTCTTTTTTTTTCTTTTGTTCAATCTTAAATTCTGCTATGTAGAAGAAATTTGGTGCTGTTTTTTCTTCCTTTTTTTCTTTGGTTTAATCAAGGGTAGAAGTGATTTCTTTCTTTTCTGGGGTGAAAAAACCACTGCGTTCTCGACCAGACCTGCATCCATCTGCATTTGCTTCCTTGGCTCCTCCTCCACCACCCGACACGTGTGAAAGCGAAAGGGTATTCGGACAACTCTTCCATAGAACTATTTATTTTTTCCTTTGTTTTTTTTTATTATTATTTTTTTAAATTGCTTACTTTATATATTTTGTATGTTAATGGAGATGAGATAAAGGAGATATTTGCACATTGATCTACTCCATGTGGCAGCTGAGTAATAAAGATAGTAGAGAGATGAGATGAAACTTTGTGACTTTTATGTAGGACTTTGAACTGTCCCAGATCATTCTCAGATCCCTTTTTTTTTCATTCAGGTTCGATCTGCTGAAAAGGACATTATCTTAAGTTTCCCCCTTTGTGTTTCTAACCATGGCTGGAATTGTGTGTTTCTAAGAGCAGGTTTACTTCACCTTTTCACCATTTCTTTTTATTCCTGACAGAGCTAACGGCCTACGGGGGCATCTCCTGTTTTTGTAAACGCAGCACAAGTAGCCGTGACACAAAATATGCCGTTACATCATTTGAGGCAGAATCAAGAACGAAAATAACCAGGAAAGATGACTCAGACGGTCCTTTCAGCTCCGGGTGCTCGAATCCAAACGCACGTCGTCCCCTCTGTGTGTGTGTGTGTCTGTGTGTGTGTGTGTGTGGGGTCATTAGCGGGAGAGAGATTATTTCTCAGCATCAACATGTCAAATCAGTTTGGTTTTATATGAGAGTGGACGACGCTTATAGCATCTTAGAGGAGAGCAACATTCTGCAGTAGCTGGGGAAAAGCTTATCTTTTATAGAAATGTTTTGATTGTATGTTTGTGTGTGTGTGTGTGTTTTTTTAAATAAAAGTTTGAATTTCTTTAAAGATGAATAGAACTATTTGAATTTAATCATGTAGGTTTTTCATAATCTAAAATGGATGTCTGTGGGGGACCAGTTCAGGTTTAGGCCTCAACCATCACGAACTGAAGGTAGAAACGAAGGAGTTTCTGAACAGGCATCCGTAAACCCGAATGGAGCGTTTTGTACCACTTTGCATTGGTGTGAATGCATTGAAAGCAGGGCTGAGTCAGATGAGGAACAAACAAGGTTGAGCGATGACGCACGGAGCTCCTCCACACCTAGAAACGGCAGAAAAGCCGGCGGATGGAAGGAACAACACGAATCCAGGCATGCATCTTGGATCTTAAAGGAAAGACGTGATGGCATCAACAAAATAAATTGAAAAAGACCTTTTAATCCCATCATAAGGCATAAAGCACATAATAAAACATGTGTCATCTTCCACTGTTGATAACAGCCAGTGTCCAAAACGCGATCATGACGGGGCCGAGTTTGGAAGCAGATGTTCAGCATCTGGGCTGGTGCTAAAAAAAGGACGTGTAAAAACCAAAATGCAGCTAAACGGTGTGGGTCACCACATAGTTGGTTTTCAGTAAAGCAAAGAAATCTCATCACATCAGACGTTCAGTCAATGGGGGGACTCGGTGAAGACCTGTCTGGGCAAAGTGATGTTCTCATGCAAATTTTAAGAAGAACAACAGGAACCACCCACAGGACCTGTGATGCATGAACAGGAAGTACCAACGGTATCTGGCCCGGTCTAAAAAAGCCCAGCCGGCAGACGCCTGAATGGATGCAGCTCAGGAAGTACGAACATAGTTTTTCTCCCTCCGCAAAAAAAAAAAGAAAAAAACTGTCACAGCTTAAACAAAAGCAGGTCGTTGCTCTTTTGTGTATTTTGCGAGTGAGTAATGTTGCTATGGCACCATGAGTCTGCAGCCCGACGAGGTAAAAACTCCAAACTTGTGCACAGCAGTATCAGCCGAGTGGATCTAAAGTATAAAAATGACATTGTGTCCTCCTCAAAGGAGGACTGGACACAACCAAATCCTATTGGCTAGTTACCTCTGGGCATGAACAGGCCAGGTCCTAATTCATGCAGATGACAGGAATGTGGTAACAAATGGTGTGTGTTTGTGTTGACCTAAAGGTGGATCTAATGCAACAGAGAAAGAAAAAGAGAGAAAAGAGAGTCTGTGGACACAGCCAGAGACTTTAACACAACATATAGTTATGAAAGAAAATAAAACGGTCAGTAATTTACATAGATCATGTGATAGCATATAATGCTAATGTGAGTAATTATAGCCAAATTCTAGAAGAATCCCCCCCCCGACTTCTGGCTTTTCTGAGTGAAAATAAAACTAATTGAAACTAACCAAGTAAAGACTCAGTTGTGTCACATTTATTGTCACCACAACACAACAACGTGAGAAATATCATCACAGCATTTCACAGCAGGTGTCTCGACCGGAATAACAAACCCTAACGACAAACCATTTTTTAGATACACATCAAACACTGTTATCGTCTTAAACATTCAGTTATAGAACAACAACCAGGTCACACCTTGACTACTTGACAATATCTAAGTGGATTTACATTGTGCTTAAGTCTGGGAGTGATCGCCTCACATTTAGCACACCTAGCTGTGCTGTGATTCTTGTACAGATACTGAGTAAAGCACACAGAGCTTCAGATGAACACATATTCACTTTGTCGACGACAACAAACAATCCTCATCGTTACACACAGTCTATTCAGTCGGTTCACTACAGATATCAAATATTCTAAATTTCCAGCTAAAGATCCGGGATCAGTTTTTTTATCTAGACTAACAGACGAGCTTTATCTGTAATTAAGGAGTCCGATCTCTGTGAAGTGTCTCAGAATGAACGGGAGTTGTTATCTGATCAAATGCAGCTAAAGGTCTTCATTGAGGGTCACGAAATGGATCATTCATTAGTTTTTCACCTGAACACTTCTGTGACTGGTTGTGATGAAAGGTCTCTTTTTGTCCCTCGGGCTGCCCCTGGATTTGTGGAATGTAAAACCTCTGTCACAATCGATATAAGGGCCCAATCGATCAGAGCCAAGAAGGAGCCCATAGTTTTAATGCTCAAAAACTTATCTAGAGTTCTCTATATTCTAACACACTCTGGAGAAGTTGTTAGTAGAAGAAGGGAGGATATTGTTCATGTCATCCATATAGTTCCATAAACTGATATATTATCATATATATATATATAATATATAAATAATATAATATCATATAATATATAAATGTTCAATATCAGCATTTGAGGTTAGAATGGAACTTCTTTAATGAAGCTGAAGTTCAAACTGCTTTAGATATTTTCTGCGTATGATGTCTGTGTCATTTTTATTTTCTTTTTAAACTGCTCATTTGGAAAAGAATATCTCAACCAATCACAGTGTTGAAAATCTGAGGCCACACAAAGTTTTAGTTTGATGAGACAGTCACTGCGTCATCATTGGTGAGTGTGGAGAAATCTGTGCTGTTACATTTCAGTTAATGCCGTCTTCAAAAACCTTTGTGTTCCTATTTATTAAAACCAATAACTAAACAAATTACAGATGCAGTTTTGGTTCTTGTCAGTTGTTTGCTCACAGCAAACAGGGACAAAAAGTCTCACAAACGTCACCATTCCATTCACAGACATGATCTCCATCTCTGATTTTGCACCCAAAAGAGCCCCAAATAGAGATACGGCTTTAAAGCATTTAAGGAAATAGTCCCAACCAACCACTGCCTCAGACTTTAACAGGTCCTGAGTCCTGGGGGGAGTCCACTGTTGTTTTCTAGTAGATTTATGTTTCAATGAAACTCTTGTATTTACACATTACAGAAAAAGTTGTTACGGTAAGTCAGTGACAAAACAATGTTTCTTGCCAGGTCTTGAAAAGTGTTTGGTTTGCTTCAGATGATAAAAGGAAGATGGCTGAGCATCAGAAAGCATCAAGTCTTTCATTCAAAGAGGGTCATAGCCCGGTAAGAACAATTTACTTATTTATTTTGGTGACTTGGCTGCCACTGTGGAGTCATTAAACACCTCCCTATGGCACATAAGGAGCCCATTTTCCCCACTAAATAAATGGCTACACAGCTAAAGGATACTTGTCCAGTCTCCCGTGGCAGTTCTTAATGCCTGCTGTGATATTTGAGAGAAGGAACGATCTGCCCCCCCCCCCAAAAAAAGGCCCCACCGAGACCCCAGTCCTTGTAAATCAAACTTTCTGTGCCAGAGATGGAGCAGATTATTGAAACCACCTGCGAGATGGTGCAGGGAAATAGAAACGTTGTCATAGATTGCTGAACTCAACACTTAGTTTCTGTACAGGCGGGCCTATTTTCTCTAAAATTACAGTAGTCTGAATCCAAGCTTCAACTCTTAAAGTCTAAAGTCTGGATAAAATTTCATATTAAGGAAATCAGTTTACTTTGCTGGGAAATCTAGTGGTAGAAATTCACTTCCCGATTTGTCACTGTGATTTCCTTTCTGTGGAACACTGTTAAGGTAAAAACTGTTTGTTTCTTGTTTATGTACAGTTTTCAATTCTCCCCTCACCGGCCCTCTAACTGTTTTGCAGACCCCAAAAACACGAAAAACCTGGGAAGGCTCTGAACAGAGGTGGTTACGTTCACAAACACATAACTTCCCAAATAATGGAAGGACCACAGAGTGATTTGTCTAATCCTTACCTGCATTAAACATGTCCTATTTCTACACAGTGAACACACAATAGCCACATATCCAACGTTACTCCACAGAGACGAACAACGCACACAACAGTTTGGGGGTTTTAACCCTTGAGGATTAACTCATTGGCTGCCAAAGACGTCTATAGACGTCTTTTATGTTTTTCAACGAGAGTGGCTGGGGGACGATCTGCTAAAGCTTGTCCGTAAATATCGGCTTCTAGACAGAGTATGTAGTAACAAATTGACCCTCTAGGTGGCTGTGCCACTTTTGATGGGAGATGAGCATAGATTGTAGGCAAATAAAAAAAAGGTAACGCAAGTCGAGGAAGAACGGAATAAGGTAGAAACAAAAAAAATTTCCTGATGAAAGAAGAGAGTCTACTCTTTCTTTTGGTTTGTTCGGTGTTTACATAGTCATAGCACAAACTATTCTGTGGCTCTTGAAAAATCAGTCAAAATGCTCAAAAAACTCTGGCAGTCAATGAGTTAATTGTGACTCGAAATTAAACCAAACTAAGACAACCGTTTCACGCATTACATTCTGTCCCTTAAGTTTATTGTGTAGCCACGAAGTTTCGCTAATTTTCAACCTTCCCCCTCGGTGGTTAGAGCAGAGTCCATCAGAATTGGGGTTGAAAACAGCTCGGCGGAGTCCTTCTCGACAAGCCCTCTGAAAACCGTGTTCATCTGGAAAGGGCGCATGCTTGGCCTCGGGATCCCTTCCAATTCCGGCCTCTTCCCTCCCAAGCGATCGGGATTTCTAAAACACTCAGCGCCGACTTGGCGACGGCGGCTAAAAGCGTGCGTTCGTCCATGCCTCTACTCGCTACACCAGCCCAGTCTGCATGTGCACCTGCAGGGGGTAGGGGTGGTACACCAGCTGGGGCTGGGCGATGTAATAGCTGTTGTAGATGGGCTCCGCCATATAAGGCGCCGGCTGGTAGAAGCAGGTGACGTTGGCCGTGTTGGGGATGGCGTTCTGCTCGCCCAGGACCCTCAAAGCCAAGACAGTGATCATGTTGAGGGTCTGCCTCCTCTCGTGTCCCATCAGGCACACGGTGCTCTCGTCTATGACCCTCCGGAGGGTCATCAGGAAGTCGTACTTGCTGGCCTCCTCGCTGCCCGAGAAGTGGCCCAGCAGGTAGGCCTCGATCTTGCGCTGCTGCTCGCCCACGTCGGGGAAGTCGATGAAGAAGCGCGAGCACATGTAGCGCTCCAGGGACTTGATCTCCGTCTCGCTGGCCGGGCGGAAGTTGCGCACCAGCAGGTCGCTGTACTTCAGCAGGCCCCCGCCCCGGATCTCCTCGGGGTTGCGGGTGGCGATCAGGCGCCGGTGCAGGTGCTCCATGGCCTGGTGGAAGTCCCCGAACATGCACTCCGCCTCCACCAAGATGGCGTGCTCTCCCCAGGAGGCCGGCCCTTCCGGATCCACCGGTTCAGGCATCTGCTCGTCCACCAGAGGCCCCGAGGTATCCGGTAATCCCGCCAGGATGCGAGGCCCTAAATCTGGGGGCTTCTTCGAGTGTTTCGGCTTCACGGTTATCTCCACAGATTCACAACATCCGGCGTCTTCCGCCCGACTACAGGTGGGGAGCGAGGGAGCGTCCGCCCCCTCGGGGTTCTCCGGACCTTCAACTTGACTATCATCAAGCAAAAGAGGTTTCGGCTGAAGCGGCTTCGGGATTTCTATCGGCGGGAAAAACTGCGTCGTGAGGTCGGACAAGTCCGTCAGCAGGGACCATTTTTCAGGTTTGCTGATCAACTTTTTTCGGGACATTTTTCTTTGCAGCTTCGGCGAAGGGCAGTAGTCCGGGACGATGTCCTGTGAGGTGCTGCAGGTTTTTTTAGCCGGGGGAGGAAACGAGAACTCGAGACGGGACTCTTGTGAGGTTGGTGTACCGTGGGTTACCGTGTCCACCTCTGAGTGGGTATTCTCTTTGCCGTGGGCCATTTCCTGTAAAGCCAACTTCTCAGTATCTGCTACAGGGAGCAGAAACTGGGAGACTTGTGTCTCACGTTGGTGTTCATTGCACTGTTGGTTTAAACATGTCAGCATTGGACCACCGGCATCAGGAAATGTTGTTTCGGAGGATTCCACAGAGGGGAATTCGGGGGGAAACTTTTCTTCTAGCACCTCTGAAGCGTCCACTGGAGGGACGTCTTCAGGGCCCTCCTCCTCTTCCTCCTCTGGCTGCCGTGGGGTAATTACCTCAGGCTCTAACTCTGGTTCTGCCTTCTGTTTTCCGTCTACAAGCTGAATCTCCTCTCGTGGAAGCTGTTTCTCAGGGACAGAAACCGTCTCCTCCTGGAATGGAGCTTCCACTCTGGGTTTTGCCAGAGATAAATTTCTCTTAGTGTCCTCTTCGGCACCTCCAGGATTGCTCCGTTGTTCTTGCCCTTTGTTGCCTTCGCTTCCTTGTCTCTTTGACACTACGAACTTTCCTTGCTGCTTCCTGTCGGTCTCCCAGTACGACTCCAGCATGCGATCTAATATGATCTGAAAAGAGTCCACGCTAAACTCAAACTGTCTCCGGAGGGAGCTGACAAATCTGAGCCCCACGGTTTTTGCCCTGTTGTTAGAGAGCAAGATGAGGCTCCATCTGTCGTGCTCATTATAGACTTTCACCATCTTTTGCACGTAGGCTTCTTTCATCGTGAGGCAGGTGATCTTCCGTCTGTTGACCCCACAAGGGAGGAGGTCTCGCAGGCTGCCGAGCACAACCTCCTTAATGACCTGGAAGTCCTCCTGCCTGGGGAGCTCTACTCCAAAAATGATGTCCAAGTCTCTGTAGCCTAAGCCATTATCCCTGACCAGGACATAGCTGGCCGTTGCTCCGTTAAGGCGGATGTCTTTGACCTGGATGTCTCTCTCCACCAGCCGATCCTTCACCACGCGGATGATGTCTTTGGCTCTCACCTGCAGTGTGGGGAAATTTCCACGTCCGTGGATCGGGATCACCTCCGTCAAGACTTTGTCGAGAGCCTGGACTTGTTGAAGGGTCAAGTTATGAAACCTCTTCTCAGTCTGAAGCTCCATAGTCCTCACCTGTAAAATAAAAAAGAGAGAAAAGAAAAAAAGAGGGAAGATATTGGCATCACATGATGGCTAATGTCTCAAAATGGGAAGAAAAAAAAGGCTGACCGTCAAACAGAATGGAGACTAGTCATGTAGAAACTACATGACTGTTTCATGTCAGTGTATTTCTACGTGTAGCATCATCTGACAAGCCTCAGAGGAACAAACAACTAAATCAATGAGCAGAGGTCTTCCTCTCTGAGTTCATTACTTTATCATGAATGGTCAACGACGATGCCCCAATATGACCTTCTCTGGTGATCTATCTCCAAATGACAACAGAATTTAAACATTTAGCAATGTCAAGCGAACGGCCCAGTCAGAACTCAAGTTAATAATAAATATATTATCCGTAATTCAGCAAAGAAATCCGGATTTTCGTGAATTTTGGTCTGTCACAGACTATGACTGAACACAATCCCACTAATCCATGCTGAGAATGAAATTAGCAGCAGGCTGAGCTGTAGAATAAGATGGTTTTTCACAGTTTACAACATCATAACTGATGAATCTATCATCACTCGGAAAATAGTTTTTCTCGAGAAAAAGAGCCCTATTCATGCCTCCCACAGAACTTTTCCAGTCATTAATTAGTTATTGTCGAGAATTCAGCACATTACAGCGAGGTTAGAAAGCTGTGTCCTTTTATCAAAGACATAGATCCGTATGGGTCACTCATGAAATCCACAGATAGTTTTCTAAGAATAACATTAAATAGGTGAGATGAATTTGCTTTTTGGATCACTTGTTTTTCATTTATCTAAAAGCTGCTGCAAGGACGAAGTGGCTGACAGATGCCTCAGAAAGAAATTGGACTTGTTAAATGTGACTTGATCTTTCTGAAGAAAATAATCTGATTGTTTTTTTATTCCCTGGTACTGACGATATGAATTCTTAATTATCAATGTTGATCATCCTCATCCTCTTACGTCACAACAATAGGTTTGTCAGAAGAAAAAAAAAATCTCTTGCAATTTTGAGAAGGGAAGAAAGTAGGAGGAATAACAGAAAGGATAAATGATGTGCGTCAAAAATAAAGTACGAAGACTCACTCAGCACGGCGGTAATGCCTAATTCATATCCTGTTACCAAACGTACCAGAGAGATAAGCCTAAATATAAACACAGACACAGATGTACAGACTATATATAAAAACTGAAATTTAACCTCTCGCTGTTTTAGCCGTGGTTATATTGCTTTTCTGTACAGATCCTGGCAAAAAATGGCTAAAATCATGCAAATATTGTATCAATTTCAAGTAATCAGACAAGCTGCATCCTGAATTTGATTTAAGGTGGAGCGTCAGCATAATCTTTATCGCAGTTTTATTGATATTCTTTTACATTTATGTATCCTAAACAATTTATATCTATTTTCAATTAAAATTAAAGCTTCATGGATAAAGTTCTAAGGAGTATTTAATGTTTTTTTATGCAAATGCAACTCATGTATGGGATGAAATGTGGTCTGTTTGTCTGAGGTCCTGCAAAAAACACTTTATCCTTTGTTGAGTGTGTATGTGAGAAGCCCTTTTCTGCATCTTCAGTCTGGGTCTTGAGTGTCAAGGGTTCGATGGCCATCCGTGTAAATGAAAGCAGTGTCAGCATCTCGGGGCACGCGGAAGCTTGGCCCACAGCAGCCTCTAGTGAATCTCTGGGGTTACATCAGCACGGTCCTGCAGCAGGACTGCTCCTCTGCCACTTGGCTTCTTTAGAGATAAGACTCTATGAGTCATGCAGCCAATGAGCAAAAGCATCACCGGTCGGCCCTTCTGGGTTGTTAGCAGAAGCGCAGAAAACAACACTAAATACTCCACTTGACGCTGTGACGAGGCTGTGAAATCAGCAAACCTGATCATTACATGACAGACTTAACCACAGAGCATGCAGACGGTCGTGATCTGGAGGCACAAATACTGGAGGAAGCTGCTTTGATCACAACATTTTGGGGGGAAAAAACCTTTTAGTCCTTTCACATCTATTTTATTCTTATTTTCTGAACTCAAAATGTGACAACATTGTGTTCTTTCATTAGTGCCCTTGTACTAATTGCATGATAAAGCTTAAGTTGGCAATATTTGCAAACAAATTTAACAGGCAAAAATTGAGTAATATGCTGAAGGAAAGCGCATAAACAGACACACAATTTTAGAAACTCACCTGCTAAAAAGTAAAGCCCGAGAGGAGAAAAAAAACAATACAACAACAAGAGCAAAACAGAGGAGAACCCAACAGGTTTAATCGACCCTGTCAGAAAAAGGTTGATGCTGAAGTTGCCGCGGACAGTTCCCCTCTTAGCGCAGCAGCGCTGTTTCCATGGCAATCAGGCGTCACGAAATTTACGGTAAATCACGACGCCCGGCGTGTCTCCAACCGCCGCGTGGACGAACCGCTCGAGTTTTGTTTAGCCACAAAGCCCGTGTCGCTGAGCCCACGCAAGGGGTCCGACAGGCAGTTTGGTAAAGTTTGCGGATACGTCTGGTTGAGGGCTCCGGCGTGCCGCCGCACTGCCGGGCTGTTGCGGGTCTGTTGCGGGGTGACGGAGTGAGTCATCCTCCTCTCCACACCGTAAATCTAATCACCCGTCTGACGGTTTTCGCCGCCCACCACAGCGGCCGAACGGCGCCGTTTCCACTTTTATCTGACCGTATTCGGTCGGGCTTTACTCGGAGGGCGTTTATACAAAGCGACATTAAAAGTGTCATGTTTTAAGGACAGTTTTTCTTTTTTTTTTTTCATTCACAATCTGGGAGGAGGAGGCGGAGGCCCCTCGCTCGTGACGTGTGAATGGAACGCCAAAACCACGTGACTATGACGTAGTGGGTATTTTGGTAAGACACCAGGAAGTGCTAAAGAAGGCGAAGACCGAAACCTTCCAGGGCTCAACTTTCCCCACGACTTTTTAATACTTTAACGGCTTTTTTCTGCGGGTAATTTCTGTGGGTTCGTCGAGTGGGCCTAGGAAGTGCTTCAAGATGCCGAGCATGGAAAGTATCCTTTAAAATAAGGGTCGTAACGAGACGGTAGTACTGTACTGCTGCTTAAGGAACGAACACAACAGAGTTGCGTCGTTATAAACAGGCCGACGAGATTTATTTGTAGCATAAGATACTTTGCTAGATTTGCCAGCTATGGACTATATGTTGATTACGTGTTTTTGTGAAGAACCGGAGATATTTCCGACTTCTTTCAGGGGTCGTTGAACGCGACTTGGCTGAGCCAAAGGCCTCAAATGCTTTCAATGCTAACAGGAGAAAACACAACTGACATCCGGTTATTTACTTCTGACAGAAGGGGGCAAAGCATTACTCAGTCCTTCTAAAACTGAACTGGGGACACGGGGTGTTCGTCCTATCGAGCTTTTTAATAATATGTGTTACTCAGGGCAGTTCATGTCTCTCATTCCCATAAGCAAAATAGTAGGAAACGCCTAAAATACTAGTTACATAACTTATATTTAAAGCTGTTAAGTCAACACCTGTGTCATGGTAGAACAACTATTTTTAAGAGGCCAAATAAGTGACGTATGTATACAGTTAAAACTAAACTTTATCCGCACAAACAGATAATTTTCTATGTATATCAGAGTTTAAAGAAATCAGGATGTTTTTACTTCTAATCTAGGTTTATGAACAAATTAGTTTTTTTTTTTTACGATAGAAATAATATGATATGATATGAACATCTTAATCAAAAACATTTTTCAACACAACAACTTTTCAGTGCACCCTTGTGGACAGACACTGAAATGTTAACCTTTTTTTTATTGACTAACAAAGTTATGTACACACATCCTTTTCAGGCAGGCATTTAAAACAACTAAAGCCAAGGAAGAAGAAGAAAACATCCAAGGTTGGGTGATTGAAAAAAAGGAACTATTTAAGAGCTACCAAGCTCTTGGAGCCCAAAAGGCTGTTGCTTTATTATTTATGGCCATTCTAACACAGTAAAAATCAAGAACACTATGTTTTTCGGCTTGTGGTTTTGTTTTTCTTTAACCTAATATTTCAGAAAATCTCTTCAATTTGAAGTTTGCTGCTAAAGAACTCCAAAGAAATTCCAAAAAATGTGACAAAGAGGAAAAACTAGAAAAGGCCAAAGTCAAGAAGGTGAGTTGCAAGTTCCTGTGAAGCTGCGATTAATGTTCGGCTGATGAAAGCTTCACTGTTGTCTTTTTTTTTTTTTTTTAATTCTCAGGCCATCCAGAAGGGCAACATGGAGGTTGCCAGGATCCACGCAGAGAACGCCATCAGACAGAAGAACCAGTCTGTGAACTTCCTGAGGATGAGCGCCCGGGTAGACGCGGTGGCAGCCAGAGTCCAGACGGCCGTCACGATGAACCAGGTGTGCAGCAAACTGACCGCGATTAAAGGCTAGAAGCTGAAGCTTGATATTCCGAACTGAAAACAAATGTGTCATGGCTGCTTGTTTGTTTTTTTACATTCCCACAGGTCACAAAGTCCATGGCAGGAGTAGTGAAAGGCATGGATTCTACTCTGAAGAGTATGAATCTTGAAAAGGTAGAAAAACTTACCTCTCTAATAACAATATGTTTTTAGTGAACACAACGTACCTCCCCAGGATTGTAAACTCTATTTTTTTTGTTTTTTTTTAGATCTCAGCTCTCATGGACAAATTTGAGCATCAGTTTGAAACTCTGGATGTTCAGACTGCCCAGATGGAGGACACCATGAGCAGCACAACCACTCTCACAACACCACAGGTCTATTTTCCAGCTTTGTTTTTTTTTATTATTACGTGCGATAGCTTCTTGTTTTTTTAAATAACCTGATGTTGAATTTCTCTTTCAGAACCAAGTGGAGTCTTTGCTACATGAAATGGCCGACGAAGCCGGGTAAATGTCACGTTAGGCGTTGCTGAATGAGTTAAATCAGTTGTTTTCGGTTTGGTTTGCTGATGTGGAGGATGCCATAGTGTCATATTTAGATCTTGTGTTTGGGACAGCGTTTTACTGATGCTTTGTGTATTCTGCTTAGTTTGGACTTGAACATGGAGCTCCCTCAAGGGCAGACGGGCTCAGTGGGAACCAGCGTGGCCTCTGCAGAACAGGTACTTTTGTTTTTAAGACATCTCTGTCTCTCCTACGTGAGCCTGATCGCTCTCTGACTGGCATCCTTCTCCTTCTTTTTTCTTCACAGGACGAACTGTCTCAAAGACTCGCCAAACTCAGAGATCAGATGTAGAGAACGACTGTCTCACAGCACCTGTACACTACCTGAAGATCACTCTCTTTTATTTGCATCCTTTCTTTTTTCCCTCCTTTTTACATCTAACGTGTCTCTTCTGAAGAGCGACTGTACAGATCATATTTCTCCTGACAAATGGTGGCCCCTGTTTTTTTTTTTTTTTTTTTTTGTATCATCAAAGCAATTAGAAATCTTAATTGGAAACAGTTTTATGTAACCAATCTGATGGATAAATGTATAACCAAACACATATTTACTAGTAAGAAATATATCATTTACCATCAGTGTGGCGTTTAAACATTTTCAATCGTCAGTTTATAGCCTTTTCCTCATGGCTAATATCACACACTGGGGGTAAAGAAGCGCCAGACTTCTGACTTCAGAATTCAGATTTTATTTATTTTCTTTAATTCAGCATATATGCAGTTTTCTCTTCTTGGACTGTTATAGATTTCTCTGGTTGTTGGTGAGATGATTTCTTGGATTTCGCCCTCAATATGTTCACACATCATGGGAAGTGGGTTACAGTTTGGAGATTAAAGAACAAGTGAATAATAAAGTTTTATAGAACCTGTGTCTTTTCCCTTTAATTAAAATAACGATGGTATAGTCCCAGTTATTTTTTCAAGCCTGTCATAAACTTTGCTTTGATATATCTGACTGAACTGATGACATTATATAAATGACAAACATTTTGAATGATTGTGAAGGTTTATTGGTTGTCTGTCATCATATTTTCGATGTGTTTGTGAAAAAGCCCTGGTAAAGAGTTTAGATTTCAAATGACAACATTGTTTGTATGTTTCATGTATGACCCACTTATTTATTTCCCCTTCACCTTCACCACAATCATGTACCCATCCCGGGATGCCTCTTATCGCAGTAAGCAAATCCCCAGAACAAAGGTCAAAAGGTTTGAATTTAATGCATGAGAGGGCTGATTGTTTCACTGTTTCCTCTTTAATGCAAACAAGGTACTAAAAGATATGAAACATTTGATTGATGGAAGAGAAATCATCCAAGTATTTTAAAAATGGCAAGAAACTTCTGCTATTTGTTCTGTAGGCAGTGCCAACAACTTCTGATTTAGTGTGAAAAATACACATTCAAACTTTTAAAAGATATTTTCCTCAACTTTTCTGTCCATTTAACACCATATTTTACTGGAGTCTTTGCAATCAGAGTTGTATAAGAAAGAAATTAGAGTGGAAATGTAAACCTTTACTGCCTTCTAGTGGCTCCTGCAAGGTCTCTCCTACTTTAAATTTCTAGTTAACATAAAACAGTGTTGGTATTGGGGTTTACATTACTGCAAAGCATATTGTGATGATTTCAGAAACCTTGGTGAATATAGATTTATTAAAAAAAAAAACATCTGTACAACAGCACATTTTCCACCTAAAGAAGTCTTTTCAGTTAACGTAAAGCTTTAGTAAAAAAACATAAAGGTGGAAAAATGCTCAGAAAAATGTTTAATTATACAAAATACACAAATTAAAATACATAAATTAAATTATTTCCATATGTCCCACTTGTTTGTATCTGTTAAAATTTCACTTAAAAAACTTAAAAGGTCCCTGACTTGACAGTTTGATCGAACATTATATTGACAATTTCCCTTTATATTATCTGCCCCAAATATTATTTTTCTAAATACTATAAAAAGCTATAAATCTAAGACAAACGGCCCACACGTAAACATAAACACAGAGCCGGGTTGATTTTGATCGACGTTGCCATGGAACCGAAAGCGCCTGTGAGACCGAACTCAGGGAAAATTCTGTCCCCCGTCATGTGACTTTGTCGTAAACAGGAAGCAGCTGATCTTCACTTTAGCGTCTCCTTCCAGCAAGTAATGCCTACAACCGTATTCACAAAACGAAGTCAAAACACCCGTGAGAAGGTGTTTGAACATAAATAACTGTTCCACTTTCGAGGTAAGAAGGTAGTCCTCTGCAAAATTGTAAATTAGTAATCTTTGCCGTTTAGTTATTTAAGCTAACAGTTCTAGCGTAGCTAGCATTAGCTTCAGTGTTTACTCCAGCGAAGAAACTAGTTTATGTAAACTATTGCTTTTGGAATAAGATCCAGCCTGGTTGAATGTGTTTTATTTCTTGCCTTTTAACCTTTTATCCATGTCCCACATCTGTTACGTTGGTGTATATTTTCAGGAGAAGGGAACATATCGGTTAAAGTGTTTATTTCGCAAGAGGGGCTGCTGCAGACACTGGCTGAAGTCATCTGACCTGCAGCTCAGAGGAATTACTCCACATCGTGTCTGCTGAGGGGGATGTCAAGCACAGCAATGAAGAAAAAGGTAGGGCACCCACCAAAAAGCACTTTTAGTTGCCTAAAATGTGGCGCTGTTAGATAAATGTGTTCCCTTCAGATCAGTGTTGTTTATATTCCTTCAAATCAAGAAAGACATGTCAAAACTCTTAAAAGAACCTGCCCAAATCAGCCCAGGTGCAGTCCAGTTTACTGTAAAGGTTCCTTCTTAAAGGCCTGTATATAAACACTTGTAAAAAACATATTTGATTGGCAAAATGACTTGAAATATTTATAATTTATAAACCCTCATCAGCTTCCAGTGACATTTGTTATGTCATGCTTGCTGAACATATAACATCTAACGTTGTTGTTGCTTTCTGACTAATCAGAGTGTCATTATATGTTAATAAGAAGATAAACAACAATACAAGCTATTTTAGTTTCACCAGCTTTGAAATTGTAAGAGCTTAAACCTCATTTGGTCCTTTTTACATGATGTAATCATTTGAATTTAGAGGTGTAGTTTTTTTCAGTAATATTTGGATGTGATTGCCGTTAGGAGAAATAAAGTTGTTATATATATTTCTAGACTGTTTTTGCATAATGAGCCTGGTTATCCGCTTTCAGGTGCTACTGATGGGGAAAAGTGGGTCTGGGAAGACCAGCATGAGATCAATCATCTTCGCTAATTACATAGCTCGAGACACACGTCGACTTGGAGCTACAAGTAAGCGCTTTTTATGAGTGGTCCTACATGAAGTCTCTCCATTATTCCCCAGAGTTGAGTTGATTTGATCTAAATATATTTCTCACTCTCTGCTCATCGTAGTTGATGTGGAACACTCCCATGTTCGGTTTCTTGGCAATCTGGTCCTAAACCTTTGGGACTGTGGAGGGTAGAGCCCGTTTTATTATTATTTAGTACAGTTCTTTGCATTTAAAAAAATAAGTTTTTAAAATATCCTTTTCTAGTTTAATAATATTCTGCTTTTTAAATCCCCAGACAAGACACGTTCATGGAAAACTACTTTACCAGCCAAAGGGACAACATTTTCAGAAATGTTGAGGTTCTTATTTATGTGTTCGACGTTGAGAGCCGTGAGCTGGAGAAAGACATGCACTACTACCAGTCCTGTCTGGAAGCCATCCTGCAAAACTCCCCCGATGCCAAAGTCTTCTGTCTGGTGCACAAAATGGACCTGGTGCAGGAAGACCAGAGAGATTTGGTGAGCTCTGTTTTAGTTTTATTCCATTTGTCTTTTGAAAATATATGTACATAACTTCACTTCACAAGGGACGTTTATAGGTATTGGAATAAGACCCAAGCTTATTCCAGGTCCATAAGTATATAAGTATATTTTTCATAGACTGTTGTTACCAACACACATATGCATATGAAAAGAGAAAAAGATAGTATTTTAAATCCCACTTTTCCTGTGTGTGAAATAGCAGACAGGCTCCTCAACAACATTCACTTTGAGCTCTACTGAATAACAGCTCCTTTGTTTGTTAAGTCTCCTGTTTTTTCTTCACAGATCTTTAAGGAGCGTGAGGAGGATCTGAAGAGACTGTCCAGACCTTTGGCCTGCACATGTTTCAGGACATCAATCTGGGATGAAACCCTGTACAAGGTCACCTGATAGGCAGTGTTTTTAAATAATTGCTGACAAAGCTGGTTGGGTGACACGTAGAAATGTTCCCTATGATATATTTAAAGCCACTGAAATATCACTTAACTCTTTTTATTTGAATAAAAAACAAAAGACAAAAGTCTTTTTTTACATCAGTGGCTGTGTGTCGAGCTTTAAACTCCTGAATATATTCTAAAAGAACAGTACATTATGGTGTTATATTCTGTAAACTCTAATCCAATTTAGACTTTTAGATGTGCCAGGCTCACGAATGACTCATGCATCTTTGTCTAATGGTGCTACTGGCTTGGTAAATCGATATATATTGTTACTCCCCCATTAAAAAGCTCGATTGAATGTCTTTGCAGGCCTGGTCCAGCATCGTGTATCAGCTCATCCCAAACGTCCAGCAGCTGGAGACAAACCTGAGGAATTTTGCACAGATTATAGAAGCCGACGAAGTTCTTCTCTTTGAGAGAGCCACCTTCCTGGTAAGTTCCTCCCCTGCCAACGCTCGACCCAAAAATCAGAACCCCTCCCTATAAAAAGATCTACTTGTTTTGTTTTGTTTAGGTGATCTCACACTATCAGTGCAAAGAGCAGCGCGACGCTCACAGATTTGAGAAGATCAGCAACATTATCAAACAGTTCAAACTCAGCTGCAGGTAGGTTTGGTTAAAATTAACCCCCTCCCGCCATTTTGTGCTAAATGTGCCCTGATATAATTCGTCCGTTTGGTCTTTTCCAGTAAACTTGCAGCATCTTTCCAGAGCATGGAGGTGAGGAACTCCAACTTTGCAGCCTTCATCGACGTCTTCACCTCCAACACCTACGTCATGGTCATCATGTCGGACCCCTCCATCCGTAAGTATCGAGAAAAAACAGCTTTGAGATGTGGGGTCGGACTGATAGTCGTAATAACGGTGACGTCACTGCTGTTTTCCAGCGTCTGCAGCCACTCTCATCAATATCCGGAATGCTAGGAAACACTTTGAGAAGTTGGAGCGGGTGGACGGACCCAAGCACAGCCTCCACATGCGGATGCGTTAGCGGGTTAGCGCGCTACTCTCAGTCAATCAGTGCACCCAGCGCAGGCAGCAGCATGTCGCAGTCCCCCCCGGCCTGTCCGAGTAGAAGAAGCCCCGCTCTGTTTGTACTCCGCCCCCCGCATTCAATCACAGCCACCACGGGAGAAATCACATTTCTACTCTGATCAGAAATATGATGCGTTCTGTTGGAAATATTTGTCCTAATTGACACATTAAAGAGAAAAATTGAGTTGTGTTTACAATGGAAGGGACTGCCTTTTGCTGTCGCACTGTGTCGTATGCTTTGATTTGGTCAATCCCAGTGATCGGGGATATGAAACTGATTTATTCATAAGTTGTTACAAAAATTAGAGCTCTATTCGGAGGCTAAATGGTTTTTTCGCCCCAGGTTTTATTATGTTATCAGTTCCGAAATGGCATAGTGTGATTCTCCTCCCGATCCTCAGATATTTTTGCTGCTGCGTGTTTGTTTCTCCTTTTAGGTTTTTGCACCTGTCGTCCTCATGCCTTGCACCTGTCGGGGGGTGGGGGGGGCGGGGGGGGGGGTAGTCTGCAGTGTTTGGGCACATGTAGCCGCATGTTACCAGCAGAGCACAATCAGTTCATTTAAACACCACAAACAGCTGCATGTCATTTTAAAACAGACTTTAATTTCCTTTTAATGGTTGCATTAGTACTTACAGCCCTTTTAAACATGGACACCGCCCCCTCGCTGTTTTCTTTAAGAGGTAATCCCTTGACCAAACACAGACTGTTATTGAGCGCCGCTCAGCTGTGATGGGATCACAGAAGTATGCCTTCCTTGATAAAAAACTTTAAGCCTGTTGAGAACAGAAGGTTTATTATTTGTAGCGGGGTTAATTTAAGTTTCATTCTGCCCTCGTTTTCACCCCGTTTCGCGGAGCAGCTCAAATGAGAACTGGCAGAAGCTTCATAAAGAGTTCGAGTCGCTGAGGATAGATGCAGACGACAGATTCTAAAAGTGCTCGAGATGAAATCTCAACACTTGGGTGTTAACAATGCCATCTCTGTGACATCCACACAGCTGCTGTCCGCCAATAAAGATTACAGCAGACTTTATAAACCTGCCTTCAAGGGGAATCTTTGTGGAGAATATGGATTCATCGTCCTGACAAACAGCACCCGAACACAACATTATATTCTTTCTAAAGTCAATGCTTTAAAAAAAAAAAGGAAAAAGGTTTCCCTCTAGTTTTATTCTTTTTTTTATCTTTGTATTCATCAGTGTATGTAACTCAATAAGGTTTAGGACAGAATCCACCAGATCAATGGTTTTGCTTGAAGAAAAAAGCTATTTCTTTCACTCTCAATCACATAGAGGGCGTTTCAAATATTATTATTTTCAACTGTTACGTTTGTACCATTTTTGTTTGGAAAAAAATAAAAGGTACACCATGCAAAAGTTTGTTAGTCAAAATAGATCTGACTCGTACGATGAGCTACCATGTCATCAGACCTTAAATAGCGTTTTATCTCGGTGGCTTGGTGATGTCAGAGAAGGCCTTGAGAAACCTGAAAGTGTCCAGAAAAATGTGGAAAATGTCCACAGAGAACAGCTCAAAAAGACTTCCAGAAAAACGTTTAAAAGACAAAGAACATATTTAAAACAGCTCAGACTTCTAACCGCCACAGTATATTTTATAATCAACAAACATTTCAGTGACAGATATCCTACAGGTGAATACATCTTCCTATCGAGAAGATATCTGTGCCAGGATCGGTGTAGTGATTTCTTTGAATGCTCTCAGGCTTTGTCCATTGTGTGCCGTGACACCACCTTTCTTTATGCAGTTGCAAAGTGAGGAGGGATATCTGATGCCCCCCCTGGAGGGGCTGAAGGGGAGGGGCCTTCGGTGGCTCCCGGCTCCTTGTTATGGGCAGCTCCGTTACAAAGTCATTGTTCCAGCTCTTATCAACACTGCTCATGTGCTTGAATTGTATCCTGGAATGCAGAGGCCGAGCGACTGGAAAATCCCCAGCCCCCCCTTTCTCCAGAGAGTAAGTCCACCCAAAAAATGGGAGCCAACGGGGCAAGAGTTAAGTCATTTCACCAGCCCATTTCCAAAAAAGGTTGGAATGGGAAAAGTTTGTAAAACCTTAAAGGAAGGAACTTAAGACTTACAAGGCATTGCAAATAAAGTTGACACCAACCTATAACTGAAAATGGCACAAGGAAAACAAAAAGCAAAAACTTATTTATTTCTACAAGGTGTGAGTTGTCCCACTGAAGCTGAGATGAGGGACACAGTCCCACCATTATTCTGATAAGTGCCACATTTCGGACGCTTTTTGACAAGGTGGAAAATGAGAACACTGCAAATCCCCTCCTGCCGTCGCTCCGTAGAGCGCTTCTCCCCGGAGAGGCGGTGTGAGCGGAACCCGAGCACAATATGTGACATGGGAAGGGAGCCGAATCCCTCTGCTGATGCAAGCAGGGCCCGTGTTTACAGGCAACCCAAAAACCGACATGCAGCACTTTCCGTTTGCCTCTCGGTTTGATACGGATAACTTTGTCTTCCCCGTGTCCTTTTGCAGGAGCTCCTATAGCTTCTCCATCCGAAATACCCACAAAAAGTTTCTTTTGTACAGACACAGAAGCCAGTTTAATGGTTTTGTTGTCTTTCTTTTTTTCTTGCTCTTTCTGTCTAAAGGATCTTTCTACTTTCCGCTACTCCCTCTTACAGATTCGGCATTATTGGATACATGTAAAATTTGGTAACAAAAATAAATAAGTAAAGCAGTTTTTAGGGTAAACAAGGGGAGCTTCTCACCAATAAAGCTTCCCTTGGCAAAGCAAATGTGTTCAGCTTAGTGCAGTTCTGCTGCCATAATGCAGAGCAGGACATGGTTAAAATAAATGAATAATAATAATATATTTAACGTAAAGTGACATTTGACTTGCAGGTTTTTAACATGCTCCACTTTCATCTTTAATATCAAAACACACACAACCCGCTGCTTTGGCACACTGGAGGATTGCACTGTCGTGGCAGTGTGCCCATTTCCATCCATCCATCCATTTTCATAACCACTAATTCCCTAATGGGGTCTGGAGCTTATCCCAGTAGCCAATGGGGAGAGGCGGGGTCCCCCTGGACGGTCCCCAGTCCATCTCAGGGTCACACAGAGACACACAAGGACCAACAACCACACACACTCACACTAAGGGCAGTTTGGAGTCCAACCAACCTAACATGCAGGTTTTTGGACGGTGGGAGGAAGCAGGAGAACCCGGAGAGAACCCACAGACACAGGAGAACATGCAGACTCCACCCAGAAAGGTCCAGGTTCCCTCGGGACTCCAACCCAGAACCCTCTGGGACTCAAACCCACAACCTGGGACTCCAATTCAGAACCTGGGACTTTAACCCAGAACCTGGGACTCAAACCCAGAACCTTCTTGCTGTGAGGCGATGTTGCTAACCACCACACCATTGTGTCTGTGGCCATTTCAATTCAATGTTTCCTGACATGTTTTTAGTTTTTTATTACACATTGGAGATTTCCATTTGCGCTAAAAGAATCAAAGCCTTATGAGGACATGCTGCCCTACAGTCTTCCAGCGTTTGGACGCTCGGCCCTTTTCGGTGCTTGTCTAAGCGTCACTTTGAGGTCGTGGCCCAGGTGGACAGGACCTTTTTTTTTTTACAAATTGGAGATTTCCATTTGCACTATATGAATCAAAGCATTTTGAGGACATCTTGATGGCCAGCATTCGGAATCTCGGCCCTTCTCGGTGCTTGTCTAAGCGTCACTTTGAGGTCCAGTTGGATGGGAAGCGGGTCCGGACTCGCTTCCCTCCAGCACCTCCTCCCTGGCCGCCTCGGCCCCGACGTCGGTCTGGTGGAGCCTGCGCTCCAGCAGCGTGATGCGCTGCTTCAGGCGCTGCTGCGTGTGCGTGTACTCGTTCAGCAGGCGGGCGAACCGGGTCTGCAGGGTGTCCAGCGAGGACTCCAGCCTCTCCACCTTCTCCTCCGTGTCCTCCTTCTGCAGCCCCCCTCCCTCCGCGCTCTCGTCCAGGAGGCCCTCCTTCTTCAGGATCTCCCGCCCCCTCTCCTCCAGGACCGTCTTCGCGTCCGGGTACTCCGTCACCGCCTCCATCAAGTCGTCCTTGGAGAGGCAGAACAGGTCCGAGTAGCCCAGGCTGCGGATGTTGGCGGTGCGGCGGTTCCCCATTTTGCTGCCTTTTATGTTCAGGATGCTGATTTCTCCGAAGCAGCTCCCGGCCGTGAGGAGGGCGTACTGCGTCAGCCCGTCCTCGGCCACCACGGCCAGCTTCCCCTCTTTGATGATGTACATCTCCTTGCCGATGTCGCCCTTTCGGCAGATGTAGTCGCCCGGGCTGAAGACCTGGGGCCGGAGCTTGAGGACCAGCTCCACCAGGAGGCCCGCCTCGCAGTCCTGGAAGATGCGCACCTTCTTCAGGGTCTCCAGGTGGACGTTGATGGCGATCTCGGCCCTCAGCTTGTTGGGCAGGTTCTTCAGCACCTCCTGCTCGTCCACCGCCTTCTTGTTCATCCAGAGGTAGTCGAACCACTTGATGACCCGGGTCTCCAGCTCCTTGCTGACTCTGCGGAAGTGCATGTAGTGCTTTATGGCGTCGATCCGGGCCTGGAACTCGGCCCGCGTGGCGTTCATGTTGGCGATCATGGAGCCCACGTTTCCCACGATGGTGGCGAAGATCAGCACCCCGACGAGGAAGTCGAAGACCACAAACAGGTACTCCTCGTCCCGAACGGGCGCCGGCATCTCGCCGATGGTGGTGAGGGTGAGCGTGGACCAGTACAGGCAGTAGACGTAACTGCGGGTCAGAGAGGAGAACTCCGGCTTGGAGATGTTCGGGAAAACCCAGGTGTCAGATCCGAACCCCAGAGACTTGGAAATGGCGTAGTAGATGCAGGCGTTCCAGTGAATGATGACCAGGATGTAGAGCACCAGGTTGCAGATGCGGAACATGTTGGGGTAGTTGGTGCGCGTCTCGGTGCGGTCGAAGAACTCGAACATGCGCGGGAAGCGCAGCAGGCGGTTGAAGCGGAGCTGCGGCGTGTTTATTCCCGTGGCCACGTAGGCCAGGTCGGTGGGCAGGATGGACAGCACGTCCAGCTTGAACTGCAGGGTCCGGACGTAGCTGTCTCTGAGCTTGGCGTGGTCCTTCACCAGCAGGCCCTGCTCCAGGAAGCCTGGGAGGGCAGGGAAAGACGGGAAATTCAGCCAAACTGTCGTGATTTAGTGTTTTGCTTAGCAACTTGGTTACTATGATTGGATACATCTCAATTCTGAAGGACTTAAAGCTCCAAAAATCCAACAGTATGAGCCCAAAGATTTGGGTCACAAAAATAATGATACCATCTCAAAACAGTGACTTAGAAACTAAGCATTTTGGGATATTCTATACTATACTATACTATACTATACTATACTATACTATACTATACTATACTATACTAAACTAAGTTATTAGGATTTAATCTTGTTAAAGTGCTTTGCAGAGTGAGAGCTTCATGTTGGATGGCAGATAATGCTTTAAAACAATAACATGTATACGTACTTAACCACTCGAATATACTTAGTGACTTGGTTATAACATTGATTAATTTTTTCCTCCTTTATGGTAATACCAGGGTTGATCTAGCTCAAATTGTCTTAGAGCGTTTACCTGTGCGAAGCCGAACAATAGTGTCCATTATGTACACCGTGTCAGAGAGATAGTCCAGCACCAGCCACCAGATGTAGTTTTCCGTCTGCAGCCTGTCAAAGCAGGCCCTTAAATTATAAGAAAAAAATAATAATTTAGAGTTCCTACATCCATCACTCATCTCCAACAACACACATACAGGCTGTGGGGTTGTTATTACCTCACAACAACCAAGAACCAGTTGTAGAGCACCGCCGTGGCAATAACGAATAACCAGCGGTAGTAGGCGTTATCAGATGGGGACACCACAAATAAATCCCACTTTTTAGTGAAACTACAAGGAGAAGAGGTTAGACAGGAATGTGACATAAACAGGCAAAAGCAGGACAACAGCTTTACAATAAAATCATTTTCCCTGGAATTGTTTTTATCCCTTTTTTGGGGTAATATTAGATATTTCTTATTAGAGTCATCCTCATTTCCATAAAAAAGTCAGAATTAAAACGTACGTTCACAATGAACTTGTACCGATGCACACCAGAGAACATGGCACCAGTTCACGGATGCCGCTCCAAATACCTGAAGATCCCTTTGGCGTTGTTGCCGTTGGCGTCCAGCTGTGTGTTGCTGTTGCGACTGGGGGCCATCCTCAGCTCGGGGCCCCGAAAGCGCTCCAGGAAAGAGTCGGGCCGCTCCTCCTCCTCCAAAAGGCTCCTGTGTGCCCATTCCCTCAGTCGCACAATCAGGTTCACCATTCTGACACACACACACACACACACAGAAACACACACACACACAACGTTTAGCGTCTCAACAGGCGACAATTCAGAAGAAACATTTCACAGAATCAGCATTTACACGCGTCATAATCACCCTCACAATACTAGCTGGAACACATAAATAAAAATATTAAAAAAGCACACAATTACAGATGTTCGATATTCTGTGTTTTTTATTTTTCTGACATAAAACACACAACTGACAGATGTTTGATATTCTGCGTTTTTTATGTTTTTTACATAAAAAACAATTGACAGATGTTTGATATTCTGTGTTTTTATATTTTTGACATAAAACACACAATTGACAGATATTTGATATTCTCTGTTTTTATGTGTTTGACATAAAAAAACAATTGACAGATATTTGATATTCTGAGTTTTTATGTTTTTGGCATAAAAACTATTGACAGATGTTAGATATGCTATGTTTTTTAACAGCAGTATGAAAAAACGATGGCCTAAAAGCCCTTAAACTCGGTAAATGAGGCTGTCGGGGTGTCTCAGATTCACCTGGAGATGGCTCCGTTCCTCTGTAAGGAGTTCCTGGAGTTTCCTCCGTGGGGGTCGAGAGCAGCCACTCTTTGTAGCTCTGAGGATGTGTCATCCCAGACGGATGGCACCCTGAGTAAAAAAAATAAATAAAAAAAGGATGAAAAACCACCTGAACAGGACAACCTGAGGATTTGCTTTATTGGGATTTTCTGGGTACCTGCTCAGAATACTCTCGGCTCTCCCGATCTCTTCCTCCAGGGTGGTTTTAACGGACAGGTTGTGGGGGGACCGCTCCCCATCCGCCACGTGGCCCGTCATCTTCACCTTACAGAGCAGGACAAGAGCTGATATCAGAGTTTCAAACTAATCTTTTTTACCATTCAGCCCACTGTGGATAAGTGTTAAGCTCATCCTCCCACAGCACTGTCTCTGAAAAGCAAAGTCTTTAGTCTCCGTCAGGGGACGGGGGACCACTGGGAGCGTCTGCCTCGGTCCCAGACCATCACACTGCAGGTCGTTGCTATGACGACAGGGGCGACTGCAAAACATGCTCACAGTGACTTACAGAGGTCATCTGAACCAACATTTAACGCTTTTCTCATCCTCAAGTTTAGTTTACAATAGTTTTATCTGTAAGAGGGCATCTGTGTATTAAGTAGGAGGTTTTATCTAAAGGGTCTTCTTTTGGGGAATCCAATTCAATTAAATACAACCCAAACAAAATGTCAATCTTGTCAGACCAATAAAACAGTTTTTTTTTTCAGATAAAATGTATTTCTATCCATATTTACCCATGTTTCAACAAATCATAGCACCTAACTTGTGTTTCACTCTCAATTCATAAAGGAACGATTAATGGCTCAAAACTTTCGATTACAACTATAATTAACAAACTTGTTAAATATAATGTTGTGTTTTAGAGCCATTTACTTAATTCACCTTTAATGTCTGCTACTGAGCAGCTATTTTCAATGTCTCACAACACTTTTAATGGAATTTAGTGTGTGAAAACTGGCCCCATTTGAGTTTTTGATAATGAATAAGAACATATATTAAACGTGCGTCCAGTAACTCAACACATATGAAAATATAAATACATATAAATAAATCTTCCTCTCAATCTGTGAATGTTTTTGGTCCGAGGGGCGGAGCCACGCTTCCACCCGGCAGCACAGATAGACGGATAGATGATGGGGTGTTTAGACAACAGTTACCTGTGTGTGACTAATTGGTGGATCATTAACGAAAACACACATGCACAGCTCAGTGAGCCAATCAGCTGCTCTCCCCGAGGAGCCGCATCACTTAGGAAACCAGTGGCTTCCCTGTGCGGTTTCCTCACCATAGCTGCTGGTTAAAGAGACAAAAGGGGGTCGTTTGGCCCCCAGATGTGCCCAGATGCAAACAGGTAGTCGTCCAAAATTGCCAGTTAAATTATCTTATTTAGGAATCTGTTGGTTTCTTTCATAATTACAAATTTAGTACATTGTGGAGCAGCTTTTGTTGTTGGACTCTAGATTTTATGGTCATGGGAATGAGCAAATGTGGACGTCAAGCATCACTGCAGACTGATAAAAAAAAGAAAGGAATATCAAAGTAAACTAGTTTCCACTCATCTTTATTATTCCTACCTTTTGTTTCCTTCAGTTATTCCAGTGAAATCCTCACAAAGACGTCCCACCCGAAGACTCAGAGCAGCTCGTTCCCTTCCAGTCCATCCTTGGTGCTGTTTTCGGTTAAAAAACGGTTCCTTAAGATGCAACAATAAGTGTCGTCTTGTTGCATTTTCTGTGCGCGTTGAAGTGCTCTCCCCTCAGTTATGTAAACACGAGGTTCCCCTCATCCTCAAATGGTAGAGTTTCAGGCAGGAGGCAGGTAGGCTGGCAGAGGAGGGGTGGGGTTTTCGTGGAACAGTTAAGAGTCCAGGTGTGAGTCTTTTCTCTGAACGTCTCAACCGGAGAAAGGTGAGAACAAAACACAAGCTTCCATAAATTCAACGGAAGATTTGCCTTTTTTTTTTGTAACAATGTGGCTTAATTGTATGATTCCTCAATCTGACATATCTTATGTCTTCCTCTTCTGAACATCGGTGACCATTTTTAATAAATTTACTCATTTGAATTTCAGATTAGTGAGTTGATATCCGCCAAAAAATGATCATTTCCTCATAACACAATGTGACCCAGAGAGTCCACATTATAGTTAGAAAATTCCTCTTTCTTTTGATAAAATATATATGAATCTTGCAGGATTATTGTTAAGGTGAGAAATTTGACATGTTTTCAGCACACTGTGGTTCTCTCTTTCTTTTGAAAGCACCTATAATCATCACAATTTTACACTTATATATGGTAATATATATACACAGTATATACACCTTTGAAAAACATTTGTAATTGTCATTATTATGTTAATGATCCAAACGTTAAGCAGGAAGGAGCTGGAGCCAGGAGGCGTAAATGATGATGCCACAGGAGACAGCAGCCTCCTCATCCTGCAGCTCTGTTTGAGTTTTAATCCAAGCCACGAAAGCCGGATACTGACTGAGACTGAAACCCACAGGATGATCTACCTGGGATTCAGCCCAGTGAACGGTGAAGTAAATACCTGTCACTGCTACACACTGTCGTACCAAAATGCTGACGACTGTACAGTAGAGTAAACCATGTCTGTTAACCAGTAGACAGAGCTCTGGCTGGTCCTCAGTTGCTGCATTTTATGATCAAAAAGAGGGAAGAAGAACAGCAACAGAAACCCAGATAAGAGAAAACGGGAAGTCGTAAAGGGAAAACATTTGGGTCATAAAAGTGATACCAAAGTTGTTCCAAAATTGATCTTAAACTTTAATGACCCTCGTTGAGTTTTTTTTTTTTGCATTAATGTTTGACTCATCTGTTGAACTTAGATTATTTAGTTAAATGTGGACACACTGGTGCTTCCAAGTTTTCATTCAAACAGCTATTGTACATAAAACCACAGAGGACCATTCCTCCCAGTGTCCCTTCAGACAAAAATGATGATACCATCTCAAAACAATGACTTGGGATATTCTATGATCCATTTATTAGAGTCACTACATCAGTAATCTAAACATAACCCACGGCATAGTCATGATTTAATCTTGTTAAAGTGCTTTGCAGAGTGAGAGCTTCATGTTGGATAACAGCTAATGCTTTAAAACAAGAAGATGTATACTTACTTTTTTCCACTGTGAAAATTCAATCAAATATCCAACTCTCAAATATGACATAGAAAGAATTAAGTTTCCTTTGAGTAAAACAGACGGGAAAGACCAAACATCTGAGCAGTTTCCAAAGTCAGATTTATTGTAACATGTAAAGCACTTAAGAGTACACGTGAACACGAGACCAAATACAATTTGACCCTTGTCGGAGAATATCATGGCGCTACCTGGAATGGCGTTGCTGTTTATATTTGGTAATGATATGAGAGAAAAAAAGGGGCAAATACGAGTCGTCTTTGAGACTAGAAGGCACAGCGGAGGCCAGGAGAGCAAAGCCCGCCTGCTCCTCATCCGACGTAACAGACGGTAAAAAAAACAACAAAAAAAACAGAAGGAAAAAGCCCGATACACCACAGACCAGACGTCCCTTAAGACAGCATTTAAGGAATAGGACGCGGTAATAATCTAAATAACGACAGGACAGGGAATACAGACAGCACATCCCTTTGGCCTCGGCCTTTGGCTTCTGTATGCGGACACAGACGTCCACTGTGTCGTAATTAACACATGCGTTCACTTCTTAAAGTAAGAGGCAGCGTTCGGGGGCTCGTTGCCCCATCGACTCTCACTTTTTTTGGCCTTTTCAAGCGTTAAGTCTGGTATTCAGGAATGTCTGTTGCTTCATCAAGGCGATAATTTACTTATCGGTCTGAGCAAAAAACGTGTAAACAACCTTGCAGCTGGAAATATGCATACTTGCTTTTTAAAAAAAAACAAAAAAAAACAGCATCCTTAAACAGAGTTCTGCATACTGAGAGTAACAGGCTGACGGGAGCCGTGTCTTTAGAGGTTTATTGTAGCACGTGATCCTTCAGAAAAACACCTCTGTCAATCAAAAGGCGGCGGGGGGAACATGCAAATGTATGATTTTGACTCATTCAAGACAACAAAAAAAAAATTAATCCTTCAGTTGGGGACCTTCTCTGAAAACGCTTATTGCTTAAGTGTCACAATGATGGCGTTTATTCATTTATTTATTTTTAGGCGCGCTTCATCCCCCGACCCATCAAGCAGGCAAAGACTGTCATCACCATTTTGGGCTTGACCTCCACCAGGTCCTCTGGCAGGGCGTAGACCCGGGCCCCGATCTTCCTCGCCATGGAGACGGCGTATCTAAGGGGGAGGACACAGACGAAATCGTGTTTATTTATTTCTTTAATCAGGACAGTGCACATTAATGAACAATCTCATACAGATTGTAAATGAGCCAGATTATAGCATAGTTGCTAGTTTACATCTGGAAGACCAAACAACACAAAATCACAAAATACAAAATCAGTCCAAACACACGTTCAGACAGTGATATTACAAAATTAAAATTAATTCAATTCAATTCAATTCAATTTTATTTATATAGCGCCACATCACAACAACAGTTGTCTCACAGCGCTTTCCAAACAGAGCAGGTCAGACTCTGAAGTTAACTACAGAAACCCAACAATTCCCACCATGAGCTCGTGTTGACGGGTTCACGGGCACTCGGACATTGATCTAAGCCCCGCCCCTCTTACTTGGCGTTCTCCAGCTTGTCGGCCTCGGAGAGGCTGCCGGTTTTTATCAGCTCGTAGCTGATGCTGCCGGGCTGGATGGCGTCGATCAGCTCCAAAACCGCCAAACTGCTGCTGATCTCCTTGTCCTGGTTAATACAAACGCAGATATTCACACAAAGGATCCCAAATGTTCACATTTTGTCGTAAAAAGCTCCTTTAACCTTTGGTTTTAATGGACTTGGGGTAACATAAAGGTATTTCCATCGCTTGGTTTACCTTGAAACTTGAAATCTTGGTTGATTTTCCAGCCTCTGCCAATGTTTTGTTGACCCATTTTACGATGATGTCATCGTTAACTTTCTCTCCTTCACCCAGGTCCTCCAGTACATTCAACGTGTATCTGAAAAGGTAAAAAAACGAACAAAAAAAAGCGTCTTAGACGAAAAACATCAAGAGGGAAATTTGAAATCTGGTCACGACTTCTTTGTCTTTTAAAATTGGATTTGTGACGATACAAAGCATGCGAAGAACGCCGAAATGGGTGAATAACACAATAACAAATGGAAATGTGGTCTTAACTTGGCCGAACACACAATAAAACACGACCCGGTGTAATGAAAGTTTCAAACGATCGGCCTGCCTTTATTGTGAGAAACTGACCCACTTTGGGAAGTTATGCAGGGCTCGGTTTACTTTGCCGTAGCTGTCCAAAAAAGGACAGGTGAACTGAGGAGAATTGAAGAGAAGCTGCGTTACAGTTTGAGGAATCTTAATCCTGACTATGACAGAATGCCCTCAAAAGGCTCGAACCACTCAAAGTGCCAAAAATAACAAACAAAAAATAGACTAATGAATTACTTTTATATTACGTTAAACATTGCTGGGTTATGGTTAGGGTTCCAGTAATGAGTAGCTGACTCCTCTTGATGCCTAAAGAGTCGAAATTCCAGAAATTATTCGGTTTCTAGCCCTCTCTGAGGGAGATTTTCAAAGGTCAAAGGTTAAAGAGTAGCAGTTTGTTTTTGAGTTGCTTCGTGAGGATTTTGTTTTATTAGAGCAGAGCGACTGTCTGGAGATGCTTTAAGTAGCTGTGAGCTGACACTGAAGCTTAAGTGGCTGATTTGACGTTGGATTTTCTGAAATTTACGGTTGTCTGACATAACAGACAGAAATATATGAATGAGAGCAGCGTTATTAGGATTGGGCCCACAAACACCTTTGTTTTTCTGTGTTTCAGAGTGCTTTGGTGCATTTGAGTCTAATTAAGCTAATTAGCTTACTGGAGGCATCTTTACTAAATTTGTTTAATATTTCTAAAATGATTTTTTTTTAGAATATTAACAAAAAACTGACAACATTTATTAATTGTGTGTATTAAAATCATATCTGAACTTGAACTGTAATGTACAGATAGATCCAAATCCATAAGATATTTTTAATACTTCCTGAGTGGTCTGAGTTTGTGCAGAGTTGACAGGAAGCATTATTCAGGATGAATAGAAGTATATACACAACCTGAAAGAACTCGACTGGAGCAAACCATTTTCAGAAGTTACACGATCAGAAATCTCCTCAGGATTTATTGATATGACAGCGACATAAACCTGCTGTATCTGTTTGCATTCACATGGTTGGCGTCGTTTTTTCCTTAGCTGTCAGGTTTCCTTCCTGTTTTGGAGGCAATGACTTGTTTGACTTTCCAGGCCAAATGTAAATTACTGCTAAGACTTAATGACTGTGACCGTTCCTCTGATGACAGCTCAGCCACTTTCAAATGACCGTGAACAAATCAAGACTCAGGAAAAAACTCCATAACCAGGATTGTACTGCCTGATACTTTGGTCTATTTCACCGTAAACTAAAACTAATAAAATCTGTTTGATGCTAATGACACATACCACCCGATTAAAACGTTCCTCCCAATCTTTAACTCATTGGCTGCCAAAGACGTCTATAGACGTCTTTTATGTTTTTCAACGAGAGTGGCCGGGGGACGATCTGCTAAAGCTTGTCCGTAAATATCAGGCTTCTAGACAGAGTATGTAGTAACAAATTGACCCTCTAGGGGGCAGTGCCACTTTTGATGGGAGATGAGCATAGACTGTAGGCAAATAAGAAAAAGGTAACGCTTCGCTATGAGAAAACATGTGGCCGGTGAGACGCAAGTCGAGGAGGTACGGAATAAGGTAGAAACTATTTTTTTTTCCTGATGAAAGAAGAGAGTCTACTCTTTCTTTTGGTGTGTTCGGTGTTTACATAGTCATAGCACAAACTATTCTGTGGCTCTTGAAAAATCAGTCAAAATGCTCAAAAAACTCTGGCAGTATGGGACTCTCTGTTCTGAAAATGGCTGGCAGTCAATGAGTTAAGTGTCTGTGTTGTGTGTGTGTGTGTGTGTGTGTGTTGGGGGGGGGGGGGTCACCTCCTCATCAGCTGCCAGACCAGTGCGAGGGTCAGGGTGGCGTTGCCATCGTTCAGGTCCTGCCCGCCGATGCCAACCAGGGAGAACTTGGCCGACTTGCCCAGGTCCACCGCGTAGTTACAGTTCTCCAACTGAGTGAACAAAACACAAACTGTCCAACAAATCGAATAGAATTTTCTGGGATGAGAATCCTAAAAAAGGAGCTCGATCTACCTTTTTCATGTTGGTTCCCAGTTTAGGATACGGAGGCTTGTTGACCTTGTTGTTCCAGTCGACGGGAACTTTAATCTTCTCGTACAGCTGGAGGATGACCAGGGCATCCTGCAGGTCCCTGGAGAATGCAGAACATTGTTCTCAATTTGATACAAAACACTTTATCACAGCAGCAATTACCAATTTTTTTTTTTTCTTTGGCTCCCATTATTTATTATCTGGTTTGGAGCTAAAGTGTGACCCTGCTGGTACGTACCCGTACAGGTGATTCACGTGAGGGTTCACTCCCAGAGAATTCATCCAGTTTCTGAATGTCCTCTCTTCCCTCGTCTCACCTTATCGGGAAAAGATAACAGGATTCAGGAGACTTTTTAAACGAGCTCATCGGTCCTTTGCTGAGGTGCTAAAATAAGCTACAGTGGGGGGAAATAAGTATTTGACCCCTTGCTGATTTTGCAGGTTTGCCCACTTACAAAGAATGCAACGATCTATAACTTTAATCATATGTACCATTTAACAGTGAAAGACAGAATCTCAAAGAAAATTCCAGAAAATCACATCATATGAATTTATAAAATTGATAACCATCTAAAGAGGAAAAATAAGCATTCTTTGTAAGTGGGCAAACCTGCAAAATCAGCAAGGGGTTAAATACTTATTTCCCCCAACTGTAGCTATTGTGCGTTTTAAGGTAAAACACCCACCCTCCAACAGCCCCCAGTCGATGTCCTCGTTCTCAGGTTTGGTGAGCGCGGGGTATTTGTTGAACAGGTTGGCCACGAAGGCCAGGTTGAGTTTGGGGTTCCCGCTGACCACGTCGGCGGGGGTGACGAACTGCCGGCAGCCGAGCCGGTCGGCCTGTTGCAGCATGGCCTCCGCCCTCTTCATATCATCCTTTTCCTGACCAACACACGCACGGAAGGGATGGGGGGGGTCAGGGGCAGCCGTTTGCAGCTGTTACCAGGCGGTGGTCTGCTGCTTGGTACTCACAGCGAAGCCGGCCATGTTGATGTCGATGCGTGGCTGATCCTCCTCTGTGCCTTTGGGAGAAATCTGGTTCAGGAGGTGGAAATAAGCCCTGGAGTCCTGGGAATGAAAGCAAACAAGAAAAGAAAAAAAAAAAGGAAAACAATCAAATCAACCATCATCCGTTCTGTAATTAACACTGATCTGATTAACTGAAATCACACACAAAACAAGCCATTTGAAATATTATCATAGAGAGACACAAAAACGAAGGGTCAGTGTTTATATCAGAAAGAGCAAAAGACGAGCCATCAGCTGATTTCTCTGTGGCGAAAAGTAAAAAAAAAAAGCTTACAGATGGGTGTAATAACTACTTATATATATGGCTGTCTGTTAGATTTATGAGATGGAGCCAACAAACACCACTAATCGGACGCAGTGAGCACTTTTATTCGTCTGAACTTCCTCAGTAAAAGCCAGGTTAGGCCCTTTCTGCCCACTCGTCTCCATCTTTTGCTGCCGTGGAGACGTTCAGGTCGGGGTTGTGCAAACATAAACATGCACTACCTGCTGACAGACGCTGTGTTGGTGTGCTTAGTTACTGGTCAGGTGCGGAGAAATAAACAACCAAGGGCTGAGTTTAGTCAGCCCACGGGGTTTCGTCTGTAAAGTTCACAGTGGATTTCCATAATCGCGTCCCGGATCCACCGCCCACCTTGATGTCTGAGCTGAAGTTGTTGATCTTCTGCCAGCCGGCGTTTTCCAGGTGAAAGTTAGCCCAGCGTAGCAGCAGCTCTTCTGGGGAGAGCTTCATCAGGTCCTCCAGGGTTTCCCCGTCTCTCAGCAAAGCCGCCAGCGCTGTGGAGGGGAGGGGAGGGGGGTGTTAACTCATTCGCTGCCAAAGACGTCTATAGACGTTATTTATGTTTTTCAACGCGAGTTGCTGGGGGACGGTCTGCTAAAGCTTGTCCGTAAATATCGGCTTCTAGACAGAGTTTGTACTAACAAATTTACCCTCTAGGTAGCTGTGCCACTTTTGATGGGAGATGAGCATAGATTGTAAAAAACGCAATGGTTCGCTATGCGAGAAATGGCGCCAGTGAGACGCACGTCGAGGAAGAACGGAATTAGGTAGAAACTAATTTTTTTTTCCTGATGAAAGAAGAGAGTCTACTCTTTCTTTTGGTGTGTTCGGTGTTTACATAGTCATAGCACAAACTATTCTGTGGCTCTTGAAAAATCAGTCAAAATGCTCAAAAAACTCTGGCAGTATGGGACTCTCTGTTCTGAAAATGGCTGGCAGTCAATGAGTTAATGACCGGTTAAGCTCCCCGAGCACATCAGGCCACAGCCATCGGCTGGTACCTTCATTTCTGCTGAGCTCGATGTCCGCAAACAGGCCGATCTTTATGATCTGCCACAGCAGGCCCAGCACCAGGTGGGGCTTCCCCTCCTTCAGGTCCAGAGCGCCGATGTTGACCACGTGGCAGCCGATGGCGGAGGCCGAGTTCAGGGCCAAGTTCAGGTTCTCCTGCGAACGGTGAGAACAGGATGAGACGCTGTCGTATAAAGAAGAAACGGGGCAAATGAGAAAAAAAAGTAAACAGGACTTAGACAGACCTGTATTGTGAATGGCGTCAGCTTCTTCTTATTGATGGTCCGCTCGTCGATGGTGTCTGGCACCGACAGGTTGATCATTTTGCTGAAAACAAACAAAATTCGTCGTCATGTGGGCCAATTGAGGCAAACAGTGAATGTTCCACATCGGCCTCGTCTACTTTAGGGGCGTTCTACTGGATGCAAAAGAGCTTTAATCCGCCACTTTCTCATCCTTAAAAAATAAAATAAAAATCATTTCTACTTAATAATCTAACAGCATTGTATCAACAAATGATGTTAAATCTAACATCCGCTAGGCGCTTACTTTCTCTGTCCTCCACCTTCCCACAAATCTAATAATTGTTATAAATTTGCTATAATGTTATAACAAATAGGACAACTCCATCTTTTATGTTAAGAAGCTTTTGCTTGATCTGAAAATGATCCTGCTACTCTGGTTTGGCAATTTAGCTTGTTAAAGTCCTCCTTTCTTTCGGATAATGCTGGTAACTGAAGAAAAATCTGGATATATTTGGACCAAAGGATAGTTATTTCCCAATGTGTTCCTTTAAAAATGCAGCATCCTCCCAAAGACAGGCTCATATTTTGCTTTTTTTCCCCCAGTTAAAATGTAACCGCATATTGGATCGGTCCCTTTATTTCAGACGTTATTATGGGAGAGGGTGTGGACCAGAAACACTCACCAGAGCACTATACCGTCTCCCACGGATGTGAACAGAGAGTCTGTGTTGGGATCCATGGGCAGGACATGCTGGCAGTCGGGATCTTTTTCCAGAGCTGTGTTGATCCAGTTTACAAACGCGTACCGCTCCTCCTCTTTAAGGACGAACAAACACAGCGGTTAAAAGCAGAGAACAGTCACATCACAGCTTCTACTGACGCCCACGGTGGGTTTGTTCATCTATAATCGACCTGCAGAGGGTACAAAGTCAACAGTAAACAAACACTATCAGTCACGTACCGGAGAACGAGTGCTGTGTGCCTTCGCTCGACAGCTCAGACGTCCCACCGATGGCCAGGATGCCTTCTTTTCTGTTGATGGCCTTGCGGAAGGTTTTTGCTATTTGAGTGCCCTTCAGCTCTTTTACAATCTAAAAGACACAAAAAAAAGTAGAGATTCATTCAACAGTTTAGTTGTTCTGTTTAAAACAGTAAACTGTGCTTCTATTACCCTAATTGTGACCTCACATTATCGCTTTTTCGAGCAGATAACAATACAATCTTTAGTTTCTGCTCTATCTGAAGCTTTAATACAAATTTTCTAGGAAGTTCAATCTTTTTCAGTTAGAAAAATAACCAATTTTGTTCCCCTTCAGGAGAAAACAAAAGCTGGTTCTCCTTTTGCTCCGTTGCCACCCTCGCTGTGGCATTTCCTTGTCCTTTGCAGTTCTGCTTCATATTTAAATAAATCTACTGTGTGACACATTACGGGGAGTTTTGTTCTAACTTTATCCTGGTGGAGCGCGTCCAAACCGCAGGTTGGAGTAAGCGGACAGTTTGATGATTGTAAGTGAGTGTTAATCGGATCTATCAAATGCATCTGTCTCTGCCTTTTTATAGCAAACCCGCTCAGCCAGTTTGTAGAAAAACAGACACAGTCCGATTTTAAAACCCTCTGAAACAGTCAATATCTAATCAATATATCTGAGTTTGTTTGTTTTTTTACCACTCTGTTTCCATTTTCATTCTGGCTTCGATTGACTTTTTCATGTTATTATTTCCATTTCCTGTTCATGTTGGTGTCCTTTGTCCTTTGGCTGTGTTTGTGATTACGGACATGAAGCCGCACTGAGCTGAGCTGAGCTGCAAAACTCTTTGCTTTCATGCATTTTGTTCCACACTTGGGCAGAAGGTCTGTTTTCGGTAAATGAAACAAAGATGGCAGACTGGAGGCTTTATCACAGCAGACCTCACCTCACCTGGATCTGTATCACCGTTGTTGATGCCGTTATAAGCAGATCAACAACCAATGGTTTAAACTTCAGATTCTTATTGTGTCAACCAGCCCCAGATACAGTTAGGTTAGATTTCCACATCATAAGAACACCACTGTGGATCAACCTGAACTGCTGCTGTCTAAACTCAGTCACCCTCTGAGCCCCGACCTCACTCCTGCTCAAAAATGTTCTCCTGAATCGCGAAAACCATCAACAGATAAATCGCAGATAGCATTTTTTCCCCGGTGTTATCTTCATACTTCTGCACAAAGGCCTCGGCGAGCCTCTTTTATCTTCTCTGCCTCGGGGCTCTGGCGAACGCCTGGCGGTCGAGGTCGCTTCGCCACGGTGATCTCATGACAACAAAACACCAACTCCACGCGTAACCCGAGTATTAGGGGGTTATTACGGGGGCGGGGGGTCAAAGTTAAGAGTTAAACCTCAGCAGGCAGCTGCCGTCCGGTACCAACCCCACATGAAACCGGTCTCAGGGGGCCGGGACTCTTATCACCATGTGAGGGCCTCTGATAATGTGCATTGTGTGTTAGCGTGTCTGAAACTTCCTGCCGCTGAAGTTATCGGCGCTCCATCAGTGACCTCAGCCCCGGCGGCGTTGTTGTGCCCACAATGAGCCATTCAGCCGGGCACTGCACCGCAGACCCACACGGGGCCGGAGGAGGCCTCCCGGCACTTTATTAAGCACTCAGAGTGGAAACTAAAAATAAAAAAAATCACAACTTCAAGACCGTCATGGCCTTGTGATGATTAAGCTCTGCCAATTCAGCAGGAAAAATAAGAAAGAGAACTGTTTTGCACTTAGTAACGGGGTTGGGGGGGGGGTAAGGAGGGCATCACCATGGATTTAACCAGGGTCACGGGGTTAACACATGCTATCAAAGTGGGTTTATTCTATTCCCCTTTAACCCGTTTAATAGTGAAAATCTTAGATCCAAAGACTTAAAAAGATGTATGTATGTGTATGTGTATATATATATATATGTGTATGTATGTATGTATGTATGTATGTATGTATGTATGTATGTATGT